TTTCAACTGAGAAATTGTCAAAACTAATTTATAGGCAATACTTTTGTTTTAAATGGCAGAAAACTGCTCTGAGTGCAATAAAATGTCATCATACTAATACAGGACTGAGACAGAAGCTTTTAGACAGAAATTGCAGAGTCACATGTTTGGGCCAGAAGTTCCTGAGAACAGCGTGGATGGATCTAAAAACCACTCCATGTCTTTTTTTGTTGAACAACGTCGTAAAATTTAAAAGCTGAAAGAAAAGATTTGCTCAAAAGTTCCCTTAAAGTGGTTCTCACCCCCGCTCCTCGGAGCTTACGTCACTCACATTTCCTGTTCAAATCTTCCTCTAAATGGGCGTAGCCTGGAGGACTGAAGGGGGCGTGAACGAGACTGGGCCGTTTATATTGCTCTGGGCGGGGGGCTGCTGACGTCAGGTCCAACTTGCAGACGTCAGGTCCAACTTCTGTCCCAGTGTTGGCGCCAGATTCAAAATTCAAATGTAGTAATACAGGTCGCCAGCAGATGGCGCCTCACAGACGGTTTAGGGCAGAAAGTTTAACTTTCAACTAATTTGCACCAAAGTGAAAAAACTATGACCAGGATATGTAGACAACACTATTGGACACTCATTTAAATCGTTTATCAGCAAAAAAAAGTGGATTTGAGGGTGAGTTGTCCTTTAAGGCCCAAAATATATTATTCATTAGTTATTGTGGACCTCCAAGGTTTCTCACTTCTCTCTCACTGGGTTTTAGAGTTTTTCCAGGGTCTGTTAGACTGTTAGTGTCTAACAAGAAGGACTGTGGTGATGATCCAGGACACTGACATTCAACAGCATTCATGAGCATTGGTCGACTCGCCCCATGTGTTCTATATTTTTTATGCTGGAACTATTTGATTCTCTGATCTGTGTTGGCGATTTCAATAGTTTTGTTAAGTCCTCTGAGATAACTACTGTTGTGATTTAGGACTATACAAGAATAAATTGAATTGAATTGAATATCAATAAGTCGTTAGAGTCATTATTGTGACAGGCCTGTGGGTTTTTTCCCACTGTTTTTGAGTTGTTCCTTGCCGATGCAAGAGGGTCTAAGGAAAGTGGTGATGATCCAGGACATTTAAGGACATTTATGGACATTGGTCATCTGCCCATTATTGACCAATGGGCCTACCGATGATTCTCTGATCTGTGAGATAAAGTACTGTTGTGATTTAGGGCTGAACAAAAATAAATTGAATTGAATTGAACCTGTTCCATGTTATCTTCAATATTTCTCTGAGATAAATGGTTTTCCCTGCCGACCCCCAACAGTGTCCCAACTTTACAGCAGAGCAGCTGAGATGGCAGGTGCATCCCTCTGGAGTTCTGCTCTCTGCTCAGTCATGTAACCCACCCAGAGAGACACAACACGCAGCTGTCAAAACCAGGCCATGCTTTGCCCTCTGGGACTGTGCCACTGTAGTATCTTCACCAACCATCGAACTAGCCACAAAGTCATACAAAACCTCTTCCCACCTGCTCTTTCTCACTAACGTGTTCTGACGTTGTATATCCCCACATAGTTTCACTCGTGCTTCGAGGGTATTTCCAGTTTAGGAGCTCTATTGAAACGGCTGTTGGATCAGTTGCAGTTTTGCAGACTGGAACGGGTGCAGATAGAAAGTCTTTAGGACAAGGAAGAAAAGGAGCACAGAGAAGAGTGGCAGAGGTCCAGTTGTGTGGGCTGAAGTGACTCATGACTTACGGTAACTGCTGCTGTTCTCTCCACCCCTCCCTGGCAGACGTGCACAGCTCTGTACCTCTTTCACATGTGTGATGGTACTGGGGACTAGACAAAAAAACACTCCAGATGCACACTTCAGTTTCAAGCCTCGACTTTGGCTCTAATGCACTACAAATCCAGCATAGTTGTTTTACACCCATTAGCCGTCTCCTGTTTGGTATGTAAACATAAACACTCTTTTCCGCCACAGCCCTTAATATTTACTTTCCTGGTATCTTGACAGAGCTATATTTAGACCGCTTTGGAAGCAAGCAGAAACAGTGTTTAGGCAAAATCTTTGCCTTGGTGTCTTTGATTGTAGATAGTGGTGACAGTGGCTCAGTTGGTCCTTGGGCAAGACACTTAACCCCACTTTGCCTGAAGCCCCTGCTGAATAATCAAGGCTCCTGTGGACTCACCACCTGCAGGAGGATCTGTGAGGGGTTGGTGCTCTGTGTACTGGGTGCAGCTCTGACTGCCACCCCCCTGAGAAATGGATTAAGGGGAAGAAAATGGATGGATGGAGATACGACTATTTTCATCTGTGGTTGTTAAATGCTTTCCTTAGAGCTACAACATCTTACAGCGTGATAACAAATCAATAACTTGTGCACATTGTCGGCAGGTTTTTTGTAGTATTACTGTGTTAATCCTGCTGTTTAGTGTTGGCTTTTAAGTGGTATACAGTCCTAGAGCATAGAGTCTGAGGCTTCAAATGAGAGGTTAGTTTAGGAGAGGCATTCTGGAGGAAGCCCTTGGTCTGCTTTATTCCTTCAGAAACAAAAACTTAAATTTTGAAGCAATTCGAGTCACAAAATTAGGGAGGCACCAATACCAAGACTGGTATAGAATATAAGTGTAGATCCATAACATTGCTGGATCTGCGTATGAGTTCTATTAGTTTAAGAGTCAAATACTGGATGATATTAACCCAGAACGTCATGGAGTTACTTGCAGAATACAACACAAACAACACATTTGAACATATTTTTTAATAAGTTAGCTTTGAATTGAAGGGGGCGACAGTAGCTCAGTTGGTAGAGCATTGGCCTTAAGGCCAGAAGGTCATGGGTTCAATTCCCACCTCTGCACCTTCTCCACCAACTCCCACTGATGACTGCTGTCGTTGTGTCCTTGGGCAAGACACTTAACCCCACTTTGCCCAAAGCCCCCACTGAAAGATCAAGGCTATGCTCACACTCAGAGAGCAGCCGTCCTCCTGTGGACTCACCACCTGCAGAGGGTCAGTGAGGGGCTGGTGCTATGAGACTTGGGTGGCATCTCTGACTGCCACCCCCCTGACCCAGAAATGGATTAAAGGGAAGAAAATGGATGGATGGATGGATGAATTGAAGTGGATACGGCTATTTTAAGTTCCTTCAATGCTTTTGGTTCAAATCCACTGTAGACATTAAGAGCAAAAAGTATCAACGTTGACCATGAAAAACATCTCAACACAAAATCACAGAAAGAAACACTTGGATAGTGGATGCATCTAGTTACAGAGGCCGTAGTGAAAGTGGGGACTGATATTTGTATATAAAAGCATAACATTTAACTCTTAAAGTCGACTTATAAAAGGTTTCCAAGCTGCTGTACTGCTTGTTCATCTAGCAGGCAGTGAGCATTGTCAGTACAGTACCATCCAGTCCTTCTGCCCCAGAGGGACTTCGTTAAGGCTGGGCTATTCCAGCTGAGGTCCACAAAATCTATTCACTACAGCCTTTGCCACTATAGTTTGTCTGGATTTAGTCATTTCTCGCTCATTGCTAAAACATTTTTTTTTAGAGATATTGTCACAGATGGTGTATGTTAACAGACAAACTATGATCTGGAGAATAATGAGATGACCTCACACCAGCCCAGCACAAGTTATAAAGAGACACTGTTCTCCACCAAACATTGACTTGTATTGTTTTGTCAACTTGAGTCGTTGTAAGGGCACTGGAAAAAAACAATATAAACAATACCAGCCTTGATCCAGGACTGCTATATTTGTCGGGCTGCTTTCTGTCTTCAACTTAACACAATCCAATCCCTTTCACTTCAGCTCAGTATTCAGTCTTACCTTGTCATTTATATACCCCTAGTAGCTTTAGAAAATCTACTTCTATGCTGTTGCTTTCTTGTTGGAAGTAAATCAATGTATATCAAAATGTCCCTCTGATAAGTTTGATAAGTGCAGTGAAGTTGCTCCTGCTTTCAAAGCTTATATGTCTCCTGCTTCTCACTCCCTCCCCCAAACAGACCTTTTTTGAGATTTTTACTTTCAGTGAGAATGAATGTCCTCCGTCAGTGCAAGATAAAAATAAAGCCAGGGGGAGGCAGAAACATTGTTGGTGGGAGGGACTGAGCGTTAGGGCTAAAGGAGGAGGAGAGAGGGGCTGTCTCATGTCGTGCAAGAGCTGTGCAACTTTTTGGCTGTATTTCCGAACCTTGGTGCGTGTAGCACTGGGAGAAGGATGGATACTTGGTACGTAACCTAACTCTGCACAGGATGGTTGGCAGACACCTCTCCTCAGGTATTTTACAGCATTGTCCTTCAGTTTAGCACTCGTATTATGACATCCCATTTCAGCTTCGCTAGACTGCTGGCATGCACTCTGCTGCAACAATTAGTCTGTTGCTGAGGATTGACAGGTCAGGGGAATAGAAAAAGGGGCGTTGCAGCTTTAACTCACTGTTTAGGTCCTTTTTAGCTTTGGTACAGGGCTGAGAAAATGGCGGTCCAGCACTTCTAAGCCTAGTGACGCTTGCAAGCTACAATGCTGTGTTTGTCCTTTTCCCTGCTCACTCACTGCCTCCCCTTGCAAGTGGACGTCTTTCCAGCAGATTGTGATATAAGAATGAATGCTGTCTATGCAATAGCATTTATAATAATGTACATACGTTGTTGTATGTATGTATGTATATAAGATGTGTTGACAGCGTAATAATAAGTTTTGTGCATGTATACTATAAGTTTGGGAGTTGACTTTAAGCACTTAAAGCTTTAAACACTTAACCAAAAAGCTGGCATTTATTTATGTTTCATGCATGTTTGTGTAACTTTTTGAAGCTGGCTCCTGGTCTTTCACTTATTTTCTCATTTAGTGCATTTGTTTAGTCTTAACAGTATATATTAAAAAAGCACTCTGGAAAGAGGAACAAAGATTCAAAAGAACCTTTTTCAACCTGTGACATTTTCAATTTCTGCAGAGTCTCCTTCAGCTGACGTAAATAATTCATATTTTATCTCTTTTTGTCTTGCAGAGCTGCCCTCACAGAGTGGGCCTGGAGCGCAGTATGATAATCCCCTCTGGAGTCCACTGCCAAACAGGAGTGCCACAACTTTAAACAATCTCACTTTCTGGGGTCAACTGAACTTTGAACAGGAGGACACAGTGGCTTGGCCTTCTACAACCTATAAAACAAGGCAAGCCACACCAGAAGGATGCCCTGTGGACACTGACTTTGGTCACTGGACCAGTAAAACCAGTAGTATTTGTAGTACAACAAGTATGGCCACGGGGGCCAATAGCCAAACTGGGCACTTCTCTGCCAACCATCTGAGCAACAAGACCAATAGTGGGCCGAGCCCTGGAACCAGCATGCTTTCTAACCAGGTGGCAGCCAATCGCAGTTGGGGGTCTGGACTGCCCCACGGCCCATCTCAGTCTTCAGTGGGGACTGAGGGAAAGGGTGACAGCCCAATTACTGGGGGCAGTAGGGGCTGGGGCTCCTCCTCATCTTCCACCACTAACTTTAACTTGAACTTAAACCCTAATGCCAACCCATCGGCCTGGCCCATGTTGGGACATGATGCGGCTGGCAACGGGGCAGGCAGCTCGGGGGGAGTCAGCTCTGTGTCTCCCCCTCCATCTACCCAGACCAGCACCTGCACTGGAGCCAACAGTAACTCAGCGGGGGGCAGCAGCGCTTGGGGTGGCATCATGGCCTCTGAAAGCATAGAGCCAAAAACCACTCCCTCCACGAATGTGTCTTTCAGTTCAGAACCTCAGAACCTTAAAACTGATGGACCAAATTTTTCAAAGCAGGAATCCTCAAGCCCCATCCACAGTCTCTCTGGTTGGGGTAATGCACCTGTTCAGCAAGAAGGCCCACAGGTTAATGGGGAAGATGCCAGCTCAGCATGGGGTAAGAGTGGGGATTCAAATGCACCTTCATCTAAAGATGGCTGGGACTCGGGCTGGAGCCACGGTGGAGGAGGAGCAGGTTCCTCTGGAGGTTGGGTGGAGCCATCCAGGGGGGATTGGGGAAAGCCAAAAAGTGATGAAGCCCAAGGAAGTTGGGATTCTCCTACTTCTCCTTCCCAGGATCAACAAACAAATCCCTCGAGTCGAGCCGTGAGCACAGCTGGTGCCAGTGAGGGGAGCAGTGACAGCATGGAGGGACACCCCCGACACAGAGACCACTCATCCAGAGATAATCCAGCTCCCGTCATTCCCACCCAAGATCTTGATCCCCGTGTCTTGTGCAACACCGGGTGGGGGCAGACCCCAGTCCGACAACACACTACCTGGGACATGGAAGAAAGTAAACGGAAAAAAATAGCAGCTGATTCATGGGGTTCTGGTTCAGCTGCTTCAAACGACACACAGGGACACACCACTAATATGGCCCTGTCTCACAGGACTGACCCGGTCAATAAACATGATGCGCATGCTCCTCCGGTTGCTACAGGCTGGAATGGAAATGCCCCTGCACCAAGCCAGAGTAGTTCTGGGTGGGGAGACGGACCCAACAACAATAAACCCTCCTCTGGGCAAAGTGGCTGGGGCAGTCCTGCAACAGGGGGCCAAAACACTAATATGCCCCAAAAAGCAGCTCAGTCCTGGGCGGAGGAGAAATCTACTGGATGGGAGTCTCATGCCAAAACCGCATCACAAGGTTGGAGCGATCAACCCAAACCATCTCATGGCTGGGGCAATAGTGGGGGGAGCAGTAACACGAGCGAATGGGGAGAATCTAATGAGAGCAAAAAGAGTCCTTCAAATGCTGCCTGGGAACGAGAGTCGGGAGGCTGGAAGGACAGTCCACGAAGCTGGGGTACATCTGCAACTGGTCCAGGAAATTCTGAAAATGGAAGAAATCCTGGCTGGGAACCTCCCTGTCAGCGTCCCAGTGGACCACATCAAGGATGGGGAGGCAAATCTAATGAGAGTCCTGGTGGTGGGGGAACTATGGGTTCCTGGGGAGGAACTGGGCCAGCCAAGCCGCCTGGAGGCTGGTCTGGTGGGAAGCAGGAGCGCACTGAGCCCACTGGTTGGGGGGAGCCTTCTCCTCCTTCTATCAGACGTAAAATGGAGATCGATGATGGAACTTCTGCATGGGGTGATCCTGGTTCCCACAATAAAAGTGTCAACCTCTGGGACAGGAACAATCCAGGAGCATCCCAGACTAAAGCCATTGCTGTAGGAAATAATGCACCAGGGTCCAATGCCAACCACACTCAGCCTCACAGCCAGCCCTATCACAGCCCCCAGGGGCCCTTACAGAGCCACAGTCAGAAACCCCAAAGCCCAGGCCTCTCTGGTGGACCTATGGATACTGCTGCTCCGCAACCCCCTGTACTACTACCTCACAGCAGAGGTCCTCCAATGGCTCAAGGTAAATGCACATGTCAGTATACTCACTCTGTTTTTTCTCAGTTATTGTCTCACAAAAGTGTTAAACTGAAGCTGATTACGCCCAGTGAACTGTTAAGCTTCATGTTGATCCACTTAAAGAAGAAATCTTGACCTACTTGGCTCTCTTGGATGTACATCTGCTTGTTTATCCAAATTAGTTAAGCAGTGCTAGGCCTATGTGTGTCTTTATACTTAAAGCACATTTGTAGTTGTGCTGACAGTCCTAACAGGCCACAACAATACTACCGGGATCAATAAATTATCTATCCATCTATCTGTCAATACAGTTAAGTGAAAAAAAATGATTGACAACAGAACTCAACACAAATATGGTCACGAAACACTGCTTTTGAGATGGACTGTCAATGGTTCTCCTATTCTATTGAAAAAGAATGCACCAAACTGAACCTGAGAGTAGGCAAAAAACCTGTTCAAATATCACATAACCTTTTACAGTAGTTATAATAATAATAATAACTCTTGCAAAAAACTGTCATCTTTGTTTAATTGACTTGGCAGATTTGTGTTTTCTCACTCGTATTTCTTTGTCATTTAGGTTGGGGAGACATGCCAAGCTCCCACCCAAAATCAGAGACCTCTTGGGGAGAACATGCGCCTTCTCCAGTCAGCGTGGACAATGGGACTTCAGCGTGGGGCAAACCGACCTGTGCTGGTTGGGGAGACAACGGTCCAGAATATGGCAGGGGCAATTCAAACATTACGTCTGCATCTTGTAAAACTGGTAAATTTCGACTGTTTTAAATGGCAGAGACGACATTTCCCTTTCGGCTATATTCATTCCGATGTGTGCACACGAATTATAAATACACTTCTGGAATCTTCAAGTATTATTTTGTAGACCGATCATTTGTGCTGATGTTACGGGTCCCAAACTGGGACATTTTAAGAAAAGTGTCAGAGAAAAATAAACGCAGCACTCGCTTTACTTCCAGATTGCGTCTGAGGGGTCACGGTCAATGTGGCCCCCTACTATATCTGAGGGTGACAACATTTCCTTCCATATTTTCTCTGTACTCGCCAATATTTATACAAGACTACTTCTACTTAATATAAACTAATTATTCTCTAAATTACAAAGGTATAATTGCACAAATAGAAATTTGAACAAAATATACCTTGTCCATTGGTGTAATAATGCAGAATACATGTGGTTACACAAATTTGGGTGTACCACACTGACAGCATGTGAAGGATTTATAAACGTTTATTTTGACCTTGTTACAGCTCCTAAACCTATGCAAGACAGCTGGGGAGGTGGCGGAGAAGAGCTGGGTATGTCTGGAGGCCAATGGGACCCAGACGATGGAGACATGTGGAACAGCACTGCTTCTCAGGAGAGTAACTCTTCATGTAACTCTTGGGGCAATGCATCCAAAAAGCCTCCTCCAAAAGTAAGTAAAGCACTAGAAGTAGCAGGCGAAGTTAGATGTTGTTTATTGATTAGTAATGTTTAAAATATGCATCTTTTTATATACAGTTAACTTTCAGAATCAGAATGCTTTGGCTCTCAGTGCAAACAAATTAAAAAGTACAGAATAGAATAAGACATGCATAAATACAAATCCACAAAACCAATTCTTCAATAGACACTATAGTAATAGATAATTGCTTGATTAGTTACAGGTTAAAGTACCAGGAAAACAAGAAGATTCCTGGATAATGAATCGCCTAATCAAACAGCTGACAGACATGGGCTTTCCGGTAATTGATTATTTTACTGTAAAAGAAAGAACATACTTGCATTTCATTACATGTAACTTTTTTGTTGAACGTAAAGAGAGATCCAGCTGAAGATGCACTCAAGAGCAACAACATGAATCTGGACCAGGCCATGAGTGCTCTCCTGGAGAAGAAGACTGAGCTGGATAAGCGGGGAATGGGCCACGACTACAACAACGGCCTCATCAATAAACCCATGAACTACCATCGGCCTCAGCTTCTGTCCAAAGACCCAGTGACAGACCCCCGCTTGCCTTTCATAGACAAGGTGTGTGCAGCATCTAGGAATGACTATTTGTGTGATCATTTAGTTTGACTGTAATGGCATTCTGTGTTGTGTTAGATGCAGAGTGGAATGTTTGGTGGCAGTGCACAAAGTCGTGCGATGCAACCAACTCCTCAGCCTCCTGTGCCACCGCTCAGCTCCTCTCAGCCGAATCTACGTGCTCAAGTGCCTCCCTTTCTGTCCCCTCAGGTTTTGGAATACTTGAAACATTCAATTGTTTAGTTACACATCATAGAATAACTAACCATAATAAATGTCACTGTCGCAGGTTCAAGCACAGCTCTTACAGTTTGCAGCAAAAAACATTGGTCTGAATCCTGCACTTTTGACCTCACCAATAAACCCTCAAAATATGACACTGCTGAATCAACTTTACCAGCTGCAACTGGTAAGCAGCTGTCTCTAAGCAGATCAAAATGGGTATTATTTATTAAGTGATTGATAGTTCCCGTATCCCATGGTCTTTCAAACTTGTACAATTTTAAAGTTTCAGTCTTGTTAATAGCACCACCATTTTACATGTCTCACAGGCTTACCAGCGTTTACAAATTCAGCAACAGATGTTACAAGCTCAACGCAATGTTTCCGGCCCTATTCGACAACAAGAGCAGCAAGTACGTTTCCAAAAGAAACTTGGCAAAACGTTGTCTTGTTGAGTCCTACTTTCATTTTCTAAAGTCCATATTGAATGTGTTCCAGGTTGCCCGTACAATCAATAACATGCAGCAGCAGATCCAACAGCACCAGCGTCAGCTGGCTCAAGCCCTGCTAATGAAGCAGCAGCCTCCGCCCTCACACGCTGGCATGCACCCTGGAGGGAACAAATCCAACCTGGACTCTTTCCCAGGTCACCCCCAGGCTCCTGGCCTCTCTGACCTCCAGACCAAAGACCCACAGTCATCTAATGCCTACAACCCCTACTCTCTTTGTAAGTGGGATGAACCATAATATAATGTATATTTCACTGCATTTCAATACATTTCTGTTACTGCAGTAAGTCATTTGTTTTATATTGCAGCTGGATTGAATTCAAACATGAATGTAAACTGCTTGGATGTTGGAGGCTTGTCTTTGAAGGAATCTCCTCAACCTCAATCACGCCTTTCACAATGGACACACGCCAATTCTATTGAAAGTATCTCTGAAACACCCTCACCTTTAGAGTCTAGCTTGGGAAAGCATGGTGAGCTGTTGAAACACACATATGATATAACCTACTATATTTAAGTTTTGTTCTGAAATTAGAATTGATCCTTTTGTCACTAGGGCCTCCTGGTAAGTCCTCGCAGCTGGAAGATTCTTTCAGCCCGTATAACCTTTTGTCAAACTCAGAATCTCCAACAAGCCCTCTGGTCCCTCCTGACAACTGGGGACAGCCCAAGGGCAGCAGTGAAAAAATGACAAATGGGACCAATATTAACTGGCCACCAGGTCAGCCGCTGTTTTTTAAAACATATTACATTTAACTGTAAAAAACACAAAGTATTGAAATAAGAATATTTCCAGAGTTCTGCCCTGGTGTCCCCTGGAAAGGCCTTCAAAACATTGACCCTGAAACAGACCCAAACATGACTCCTGGAAGTGTACCCAGTGGACCCACCATCAACACCAACATTCAAGATGTCAACCGCTACCTGCTGCGGGACCGGAGTGCAGGTGAGCTCCGGCCGTGTGAGTGTCTGGGGATAGTTCTTTTGCACCGCCGTCTTGATGCTGCTCCGCTTGCTTTTTGCTATTTTTCCTTTTAATATTTACACGTGCCCATACACATGTCTTTTAACCTCTTACTTTTGTCATTTGTCATATTATTTTATTCACTTCATTTCTCTTTGCTATCATTCCTTATTTTTGTCTGTCTATTTTTGTGTTGCTGGTGTCTGCTCAGGCTCTTCTCCCACTTCATCTCAGGCTCTTCCTTCCTCCTCTGATTGGCCAGTCAGTGCTTGCTCTAGCTCGTTCAGTCTCTCGTCCCCGGAGGCGGACGATGCAGGTACGCCGTTTACAGTTAAACATGTAAACAAAAATCAAGAAAGCTCCTTCTTGCACCATTACACCATTCCAATGCTATACCACTACAAAACTATTCTTTTGTTATTACATTGATTTTATTTCCTTTCTTCTGTTGGCTGTATGAGACGCATAATGTTTTAAGGGTTGAATGTACAAGAGAATATTGTCCTGTGCAAATTAAAACAAATCCATTAATGAATCTGACACTCCTTCCATCTTGCTGTGTAGGTAAATTGTCAGAGATGAAATCAACATGGTCACCTGGCCCTATAGCGCACACCCAAGCGTCTCTGTCCCATGAGCTGTGGAAAGTCCCTCAGGGGTCCAGAAGCAGCAGCGCAGCACCGAGCCGTCCTCCGCCCGGTCTCACCAACAACAAGCCCTCAGCCACATGGGCCGGCAGTACACTGGGGCTGGGTCAGGGCTGGAGCAGCTCCTACACCACAGGTATAACACACTTTCATGTTGTTTATGGGTTATAAAAAGGAGCACATTTGAGAGGTTTTTTCTTCAATTTTCAGCTGGGACCACATGGAGTACTGATAGCTCACCCAGGACCAGCAGCTGGTTGGTTCTAAGAAACCTTACTCCACAGGTACACACATTATATAAACATGTGGAATTAGCCAAACGTTTTGGAAATCTATAATGTTGTATTCCACCCTGGGATAGATTGATGGCTCGACACTGCGGACACTATGCATGCAGCATGGCCCTCTTATCACATTCCACCTCAACCTGACTCAAGGCAACGCTGTAGTTCGTTACAACTCCAAGGATGAAGCTGCTAAAGCCCAGAAGTCTCTTCACATGTACGTTTTTGATTGTATTATTTCTTATTTTATCTGTATGAATTTAAAATGTTCAAACATTTAATTCATTTGTTTGGCAGGTGTGTGCTTGGTAATACCACCATCTTGGCGGAGTTTGCTGGAGAAGAAGAAGTGAACAGATTCTTTGCACAGAGCCAGTCACTTGGTGGAACTACCAGCTGGCAGGCCACTCCTGGCACTAATCAAACACGGATGGGTGGGACAGGCTCAGGAGTCTCTCATGCCATCGGCCACTCTCCTCATTGGAATAACAACAGTGGAGGCGCAGGGAGCGGAGGTGCTCTCGGCACAGGAGGAGCGAAGACAGGAGAGCTGCTCTGGGGTGGTGTACAGCAGTATTCCAGCCTGTGGGGTCCCCCTAGTGGAGAGGAGACTCGTGTGATGGGGAGCCCCACCCCAATCAATACACTGCTTCCTGGAGACCTGCTTAGTGGGGAATCGATGTAGCCCACAATGAAACGTGAGCTAAAGTTTCCAAATCAGTGTGGAGATAATCACTGTGGTGTACGGTTACAGAGGGAAGAAGATGGATTACTGTCAAGCTGCTCACCCGCCTCTGCTTATTCCCCCCTGGTTATAAAAAAATTTCTGTATTTTTTTCCCTTATCAAGAGTTTTTATTCAGTGTTGTTTTATTTTTTGAGATACAAAGAGAGATACAAAGTGAATTTTGCAAAGCAATGTAAGAAATGTGGAAACATGCACCTCAGAAATCCATATGAAGCATCATTCCCTTCAATCAGAGCAGTTTGGACTTCACGTCTGTATTTCTCAGCACTAATATTAGCCTTAACCTTCTCCTGCCCTGTTCTTGTTCACTCTGTACTTGGTGAAGAAACATACAGACTTGTGCACACCCTTATTTCTGAGCCAGTGAAACCTGAGTGAGAGTAAATGCTGCTGAAGTCTACCCCAAATAACCACAGCTCAAACTCCATTACACAATGCTCAAAGGGAATGATGCAACTTTGTTTGCCTTGTTCAAGCCATTTATTTTTTCTATTGTGTTTTCCATTGCAAACAAAGCTAAGAATATTATATTATTCACATGTGTCTCAATCTTGGTGGCATCATAGCATATCCAGAAGTGGATATGATGGACAAGTGAATGAACCACTGCTATTACAAGTGAGCTGCAAAGACAAACACTTAATGCACCTCAATCCACTGCAGGACTCCTGCAGTTTGGTCTCAGTCTTTGACCCTCTCACTGATGTTGTTGTGGATAACCTCAAGTTGTCGTGTAGTTTCTCACTCCACCAACAAAAACACCATTTCATGTGATGTGCAATATAAGCCACAGACTCTACCGTCCATGCAACGCATCGTCACCTCTTGGAAAAGAGACTACAAGGAATGATTGAACTACGAATAATTTCTGCCCTCACTTAAAACTGCCACTAACGTCTTTCCTCTCCCCATGTGAGTGAGTACGCTTCAGAGAGGCTGGTCTTAAAACATTCTACCTTCAAACAAAGGTAACACAAAGCACTTGTTGGACCAGCCCCCTCTGCAGCTACACATGCCAGTGACTAGTTTTGGGGAGAAGATTGGATGTGTGTGTTCCTGTGTATGCGTGTGGGGAAATGGCATCAAACCAAATTTACTTGGAAGACCAGATTATTTTTGTCCTTTTAATCAACATTTTCATATGTGGTCAATCATAGCACTTAGCAAGAACCTCACTGCTAATACACACAGGATGCCAACATATTGAAGAAAGAAGAAGTGATCCTGAAAAAGAAAAAAAAAAAAAAAGACAAGTTACAGTGGCTTCTATACTTTTCTACTCAAAATGGATGTACGTTTTTTTATCCTTCTTTTCACATGTTTGAGAAGTTGAAGGATGTATAACACATGGTAGCAAAGTGAAGGGAATACAAAGGATTAACTGACTCAGCTGATGAGCAGTGCCATGCTCTTTGTCAAGTAAATATCACTGTTACATCGCATTTTTCTCTACTCAAAACTCAAGCCTTGGTATCTGGAAACTTTCCTCTTAATCCTGCAGGGAGGCTTTCTTTCTTTTTGTCCTTTTTTTTTTCTCTTCATGAAGAGGCCCTGCCAACTTGTGGTATATCATGGTCACTGAGTGCCTGTCTGCTGCAGAGTGCACTGTTCCGCTGCGGCCTTCATCCCTCTCCCTGCAGGACCCCGTCTGACTGGCTTCTCCCCATCTTCCCCTGGACCTCCAGGCCAAGAACGACTTACTACTACTACTACTGCGCCACCACCCTCCTCTTCCATTCTCTCCCACTTCTGCATTGATCACTTTAGCCTGATGCTGAGGCACTTGATGTGTTATATTACTTATTTCATTTATCTGTGTACATTTTTGTTGTAAAGTTGGCTGACGCTGTTGCATTAGTCAGATGGTGTAGTTTAAAGATGAATGCTGTTATATTTCCTAAGCCCCTGTCTGCAGAACCAGTGTGTTGTTTAGAGGTACGGCTCATGTTATCCCAAACTGACCCCGAGAGAAATAGGTTTTTGGTTCTTAAATTGTGTGCAGTTCTCCACAGTGTGAATGCACCTTTATTATAGTGGAGGGGTCACGGCCACACTGGTGCTTTATGGTTTAACTCTGGGAGTGCTTATTTTCGACCACCTCAATTGAGAGCAGCCTTCCAGTTCTATGCAAAATCAAGGAGGGATTCAATCACAGCCATTTAGATTTCACAGCCATGTTCAACATCTGCCAATGTTCACTTATTTAACCTTTACTACCAGGCAGCTTCCCTTAGGCCTCTCAATCAAACAAGGAAACAGTAGATAACACTAATGACCTGCTGGGGGTGCTGCTGGTTGGCAAACAGTCGCTTTTGGAGCCTTGTGCCAACTGGCTTTTTCTTTCTGTACTTCCACATGGCAGTGTTATAGTGAAGAAGTTAATGTGTTTGGTGGCTGCAGGAGCATGCACAAAGCTCTGGCAGAATGGCACGAGGAGAAAAGACAGGACAAGACAATGGTGCTGGTTTCTCACTGTTAAACCTAAGTGGAGATTCATGCTGCAGAAGTTGGGGCCTCCGAGCCCCTGTATGTGTCTGTGCACTGTTTATTGATCACATCGGGTACATCCTTCTGAAAACCAAAAACATTATCTTTTTTTCATCATTAAACGTTTTTTGCAAAAACTGAAATATAAATAAATAGTTGTATCCGCTGTGCCCTCCAAAGCGAAGGTGTTTCTCTGTGAGCCCTCCCACTTATGCTCTGTGGGGGGCTCTTTGGGGGTAATGCTGTAATCAGGGTGTATGGACCTGCAATATGAAGGTCATGACAGAATCATTTCAAAACGGTGGCTTTGGGGTCATATCCAAGCTATCTGCAGGAACAAGGACTCAAACAAGAAGTTTGGTACCAAGTCTTAAATTTTGGGGACTGTCCCTCTTCCAGAGTCGTGCCAGACTCGGCTAAACAATCACTATTGCCTGTTGTGTGTATCTGTTCATGACATTAGCATTTACTCCACACTGGACTTGAATTAAGAAACTTGTCAAAATGTAGAGTGTTGGAAATACAATGTTATGTTGTTTCTTGGTTTCAAAAAGCATCTGAAACTCAAGTGTTCAAGTAATAGATGCTTATCAATCATTGATCAGACAAGCGTCGGGCCAGAAATATTTTAATTTGCAATTGTAAAAAGGCCAAGGCTGAATATGCACATATAAGTTCATCCGCAGTGCGCCATCATAGTTCACTGTGTGTGGCTCGGTTTGCCCGCCCTCCTCAAACTGTTTATCCTTTTGTTCCCCACAAAGTACTTCATAAACATATCAGAGTAATACAAAATAATGAAAGAAATACTTGAATCAAAAGAAGCGCCAATAATGTAATGTGAACACTTTTTGTAGTGATTTTTGTCTCATTCATAAACTTCAGAGATTTTTAATAGTATCAGAGTGAATTCAATTTAAAATGCAAGTGTTACTGAAAACAAAGAGTGGATTTTTCATCTTGAGTGTTTGCACAAGACTGCGTGTAATGTATGTTGTATGAATGTCTGTCAATGATCTATGTGTGGGTAACTGCGGATCTCCGCAATGTGTTTAGTTTAATACAGTATACGTTTGTTGATTTGTTTTACTTCTTGCTTGTCAAATGTATATTCTGATGTTAATTGTTACTAGCCTCTAGCGTTGCACTGAGTGTCAGCCTTGCCCATGTTTCAGCTAAATGAACAACATGATACAAGTACTATGGGGAGGTGAGGACATTTCAAGTGTAAATGTTTACTCAAGGACTAAAATAAGTGTGTTTTACAAATGTTACATTTATCTACCTTAGTGGCTTTCATTGTGGAATAATCCAAGAAAGTGTGGATCATATTTGAGTATTGCACCATTTTCAGACAAAAAAAAAGAGAAAAAAAATCATATACTATGTAAAAATGCCGCAAAAAAAGTGTTTTGCAGACCAGTGGCCATAGTAAGGATAGAAGGACTTCATCTCTCCCAAATCTTAGCAGCGGAGAGTGGAGGCCGCAGGAGACTGAGCCTGGGCTGTGATGGCTCTTTCATAGGTGCCTACCTTTTTGGTTTGTTAGCTTTTGTTCTGTCACTTTCGTTCGACTGACTCATGTTCTTTGTTTTCCTGAAAGGCCACTGATGGTTTACGTAAATATATATTTTTTCCAGAGATGTAACACAAAATAAAGTCTAACTATGGGATTGTAAAAGTAAAAACGACAAATGCTTCCATGTAAAAATGCAACAAACTTCACAAAAAGAAGATGGTTGTATTTTTATGTTTTATTTTTTTCAAGCTCTGGGATTGAACAGTGTTGTTGTGTTTTGTTACAACTTTGTTCTGTGTTAATATTAATTTCTAAAGCCTGTATGTTTTATGTTTATTATATATTTTCCATTATACTATATGAAAACTGAAAATATATATTTGCTCACTACCTTGCACACACAAAAAGTGGATCTCGTCTCAGGAAGGCCAGGGTTCCAGAGTACCAACTCCACGCCATTTTAATGTAAATTTTTTTATGATTAGTTTTAAAAGGTAATTTTTAAATAAAAGCACTGAAAGTTATGGATTTCTGAAGAAAAGCAAACTTTTTGTTTCTAAATCCGTAGCAGTTACATAATAACCAAATACTGGACTCTGATAAAATGTGCTTTATATATAAATCTATATTAAAATTGCTTTAGGTTAAAAAGTTAATAATTTTGATTGTGCGAAAAAGACATGAATAACATGCAAAATGCTGTTTGAACCTTTGTGTTTTCCTGACGTCCTGTTCTCATAGAATCAGGAATATTGTGCATTACTCTTTCCTCTTTCTCTCCCACAGCGTGTATTATAAAAACAATTTAAGAATGAAACAATTGAAACTACTTTTTGTGGAAAATTGTTCGCACTGAGCTGGTTGTAAAGGATCATGAAACTATGCACAAGTGTAGGGGACAGAACTCTTCTTCGGGCGACATTCAGCCCACTATTGCAGGGGTGAGGTTTTTTATGAAAGGGTGAGGCTCCTCGTTCTGATCCGGAATGACCGATAGCTCTACATCACCATGCTGTGTATTCCTAAAACCAATGAGCATCTCACTCTAGCACTGTGGGATTCTAGCCTGCCGCCCTCAAGGGTACTTTTCTCAGTTGTTTTGTGGGGTTATTAGAGGGTGGGCCGTATGGGACTAGGGCTGCTTTTTGCCTTTTTGTTTTTGAAATAATAAGTAAAATGTCTGTACTGAGATTTAATGAAAAGTCAGTGGCTTGTAATGTTTTATTTTTCTCTGTATATCTTTCTCCTCATAGAATGTGATTGTTACAACATGCACCGAAACAAATGTTTTCATGAACTATGGAGCTTCTTTCAAATATTAATAAAATAGCATTTTTCTTGGCTGTTACATCATTGAGGCTTTGTTGTTTTTCATTATAGTCCAGTCATGTGGATAGGTTTCTGAGAGCTGGAAGGTGCACTGTGTAAGTAAATGTACAGACAAGAGCACATCACCGGCTTCACAAACACAATATAAACCGTTCTAACTCATTTAAACAACTTCAGGAGGTGTAATTGTAAAATTTACTTTCTTTTGGGGTTTGAGTTGTCTGATTGTTTCAAAGACAGCAAAATCAATTTCGATCTAATCAAAACAAAAATTTTAGTTGACGAAATTGGCTAATGACAAATCTTAAAAGCAGTAGAATGCACTCTAGTGTCTAAATAATGGTACTACAATTACAACTAAACATTTTTCAGCATATATTTCATAGAATAAAATAACATCTGACAAACTTGGATTACTTCTTGGATTAATTTATCCAACGAAAAGTTAAAAATGAAACCATTTCCCAAATATTATTTTCTTTTTCATTTTATACCTCACCCATCTGTGCGCTTTTGTTTATAGGGTTACTGCTCCTGTACATGCTGAGAGTGCACTTTGAAAAGTTAAAGTTAACAACTATTAAAAGTCATATTTTAGAATTTCAGCAAAACCATTCAGTCCTGATTGTTTTCTTGGAGATTCCTCAACTGTATCGCAGCATGCTCGGAACCCACCACAAACTGTGTCGAGCCACTTTAACCTTGCATCTTGAGCAGTCTGGGGGAGGCGTAGTGGTGCTCCTGTGCCTGTCCATAGCTGGGGTTTGCATACACAGGAAACCGGGCTTCCTCCAGGTGTGAAGGCTTCTCAGGGATATTCTGGGACATCGTCTGCTCCTTCCTGCTCATTTCTACATAGATGGGAGCAGGCGGAAGTGGCCCCTGGTGATTGGACTTGGCCTAGATAGTGTAACACAAGCATTTAGGTTTGACAACTGGAAGCATGCTTTGTTAATACTAGCAAAGGTGCTGTTTTGAGACCGAATAAAATATGAGAGAAGTATCATTGCAAACTAGTAGGAATATTAAAGTTATGGCAAGCTGTGACCTAGTCATAGCTTGCCATAACTTATAGTTTAATGTAATCAGGCCTAAAAAAGGTGAACCCGACCCGAGTCCCAACACCTTGTTCAAAACCCAAACCCGACTAAAGACAAGTTTAATTTTCTTCAAAAATTCAAATAATAAATAAATAAATTCAATATACTCACACATTTTGCTAAGGCTAAACTAAAAACGATGAGCAGAAAAAGCCCAGCTGCTGCAGATATGGTGTACAAGACAGTTGGATAAAGAGAAGAGCAGGGGCACATCGCTTCTGTAAAAAGAGTGTAAAATACAAATGTAACTTCAGCACCGCATCAGTAATCTATAACTCTTTTAAAGCTGGGGTACCCAACTTTTTGTTTCATACATGTTGTTTGTCCTAACAAAAAGACCACAACATGCTGCCTTATTAGAAATCATTTTATCCTTTACACACTAAGGGCTGATCAAAAGATGTGGCAGAGGATAAAACATGGATATTATTACATAGTTAATGCTGACAATGTTCAAATCCAGGTTAAAAACAGTTCTGTTTAGCTGTGAATACAACTGAGGGATTTTGACATCACCCTTTTTAATGTACTGTGATTATTTATGACTTAAATGCCTTGCTCTACAAATAATCTTGCCTTGCCTTGATGCTGTTGTTTCAAACATAGGTAGTCCAGCTTTAACAGTCACTTTCAAAAACCTGAATCATTAACACAAACCTGCTGATTCAACCAACAAGAAAATCTTTTGTTCATAGATTAGACGCTTCGATGAGTTGTTCTCTGTCATCTCCCACACGTAAAGCCCGGTGTCGCTGGGCTCCAGGTGCAGTAAAGTTGCATTGACTCGTGCAGAGTGGAGGCCCCCGTCCAGCCACAGACGGCCCCTGTGTCTGGGGCTCACCGTGGGGGGAGTTCCCTGGCGCAGCGAAAGCAGCGTGCTCTGGCTGTGGCCGCTGCAGTGGTACAAGTGCAGGTCTGGGCTCTGTGCAGTGATGGGACAGGACAGTTCCACAGACTGGCTCTCACCCACACGCCAGAACAGGACCTCTGCACACACTGGACCACAACGCAAGCCATTTAACACTAGAACTCCCACAGCAGTCAATTTGACGGCTTTTCCTAGTGTAATTTCTCATCTCATGTCCACTCTTGGTCTTCATAACTTTGTGACTTTTTCTGTTTCTATGTGTAGTTAATTTTTATGTCATTATTTTTATAAAATTATTTTTAGTTACCATAGCAACACACAAACATTTGTATTTTTTGCTGCATTTCAGTTGCAGTTAAAATGACCTGTTTTAGCACTTAATTAAAGTCAGTATAAATTACTTTATTTTTCTATGAATCTGGTGTAAAACTAAACTAAATGTCTCAAAGTCCTATTAGTTTGAATGGGAGCAGTCAAAATGACAGCTCTGGGGGTTCTACTAGTTTCAAAATTCTTGGGGTAATTAACTTAATTTAATTTTGGGGTAATTAAATTACTTGTAATTGTAATGTTTTATTTTACAAAAAGCCCCCGCTGAAAGATCAAGGCTATGCTCACACTCAGAGAGCAGCCGTCCTCCTGTGGACTCACCACCTGCAGAGGGTCAGTGAGGGGCTGGTGCTATGAGACTTGGGTGGCATCTCTGATTGCCACCCCCCTGACCCAGAAATGGATTAAAGGGTAGAAAATGGATGGATGGATGGTTATTAACTTTCAAACTACTATCACTGGTTTTCACATGCTTGTATCTCGGTCATAGCATGCACCACATGGGACAAACATCTTGGATTATTTATAGAACAAGAAAGTTGGAAACCTCAGCTTTAAGATAAGATAACTTTGATAAGCAAATCTTAATGTATTACAATATTGTGGCCTGTAAAACTAAGAAATGGAAACCTTAATATAGATTCTTATAGATTATGACTTCAGCTTCTGTCAATTTAGATTACAAAGCAATACTCCTCAGTGTGTGGCTTACCATTTAAATATGAAGAGCTATAATTATGTATCTATATCTTGCATCACATTTATTAATTCTTACATGCATTTCTTTGAGACGTTCCATGCCATCCCGTGTTCCAAACAAACAAATATGGGATCAAGCATGGCATGCTTAACACCAGAAAGTTAGTGCAATGCTGAATATTGTTTTTTCTTTAAGGTATATAAAATATTCTCATGTCATCAATGATGCAACTCTCTCTGCTTCTTTTCCTTACCTTTACAGATCTGACTGAAGAGAAGAAAACCAACCATTTCCATATCTTCTGCTGTTGTCTCAGCCTTTCTACACACAAAAGCTGTTAAGACAATATCACAAGTTCATCAGACAGACCCTCCCATTTCCTGCTCATTTCGTTCTGTTTCATTCTGAATTTGTTTATTTTTACCTCATAGCGACAGAAAAGCTACAACTGACATAACTATCAGTTCACCCTCCCACTGCTTCCTCTGGAGGCATGAGCAGCTGGAAGACATAGAGAAAGACAATGGACAAGTCAAGGGCGTATACTACTTTTAACAACTGCATGTTCATGTTTGAGTAATGCTTTTATTCAAAAGTTGTTTTCTTCTTTGACCCAATTTGTGAGATATTGAAATGTGTTTAATTCTAGATAAGCTATCTGTAATACGGAGTATGTAGTGAGCAAATGTGTGCTGTCTTAACAGGCTGTTATTACATTTTTGAGAATCACTCCCTGATAGATTATTATTCTTTATACTTTATACTTCCAGAAAAAGGACGCAAACACAAAAACAGACCAGCGCACATAAAGATCACAGATACTTACGTAGGCGACGTGGCCATTGGTCATCGTTGATTACAAATGTGCGTCAATCAGTGTTAAATGCACACAGGTGTGCACGTGCTAGACCGCGCCACAGGTTTTACGCGCACGCGGTCTGTGCTCAGCCTGTTTTCTGTCCAAACGTAACACTTTTAATGTATTCTATGGCGACTTTGTGTTTATTTGTGGCTCTTTTTAGCGTCACGTTGACTGAGTTGAATGCTGTTGTTTTTCCATCGAAACAAAAAGCATTTGTTCCTCAGCCTGTGACAGGAGGCCAGGGCCGCTCGCAGGACCCGCGGGACACGGCTGTCGATGACCGGGAAAAGATCACGTCTGTGACTGTGAGCTGCCACCCGGACTTTTTGGACGTCGTGATCCAGGCAGATCTGTTCGGAGTCGGCGCCTCTGTGAAGCCCGGTGATCTACGGCTGGGAGTGGACAAGGATGAACGCTGCAAAGCTGTTCCTTTGTCAAATGATGAATACAGAATCTCCTGTGGACTGCTGGACTGTGGCACCAAACACTGGGTAATTTCAGGTTCTCAAATCCCACTGTCCGTGAGCCTGACTGCTGTAATATAGAAGGACTGTTAATTGATTAGTCGCAACTAATCGAATTTGGTAATCAATTTGCACCTTAGATTTCATCCTGCTGAGTTTTATGACTCGTAATTGAATTTAAAACTTACACGTCCTCTAATTGCAGCTCTCCTTTCTCAAAATGTTGGACCCTGACTTGAATTGTTAGTCCCCTGAAATTATATGCTATTAAAATTAATCAGATTTTTGTTCTTACTACGGATAATTTCTATTGTAGAAGACGATGCATCCTTTCTAAACTATGTATTTTGGTCAAACGAATGTATTTTGAACAATTGTAATATCTTTGCAGATGATTGAAGAGTCGCTGGTCTACACAAACCTGCTCATCTACTCTCCTGAGCAGTCTGCCGGAGTGGTCCGAATGGAGGAGGCTGTTATTCCGATAGAGTGCCACTACAAAAGGTGCCTGCAAGAGAACTCTTAAATGTTATCTTGAATTTGAACCAAGGAGTGTTTAACACCAGATTGTTCAGTTTATGGAACAAATATTGTCTGTTTTGTCTCCAGAAAGTACAGTCTGACCAGCTCTGCCCTGCTGCCAAAATGGATTCCTTTTGTGTCCACAATGTTAACTAAGGAAAAATTGAGTTTTGCTTTGAAAATTATGTCTTGTAAGTATTCTTTTTTTGTTGTTGCTTGGAGCTAGTCTCTAGTGCTAATGTTGTGATTCTGTGCAGCTGACTGGCTCTACCAAAGGGGCTCCAATGTGTTTTATCTTGGTGACACCATTAACATTGAAGCATCAGTCAAACCTGGACAACACGTGGGCCTCAGGGTGTTCCTGAGCTCCTGTGTGGCAACTCTTTCCCCAGATGAGCACTCCTCGCCCAGATATGTGTTCGTTGAAGATGGGTAGGCATTGAAAACATGATTGGCTCTGAAAGGCAAACGTAAAACTTGTGTTGCACACCCTTGCAGATGCTTGCGTGACTCGCAAGTTCCTAATTCAAGATCCCAGTTTTTGTCAAGGACCCAAGATGATAAACTCAAATTGGTTATTGATGCTTTTAGATTTCATAATGAGAACAGAGGAGAGGTGAGTTAAGTCATTTTGAATCAACTTTTATTATGAATTAATTGTTGTTCTTTTCAGCTGTATATGACATGTCAAATGAGAGCAGTTCCTGTCAATGATGCAAATTCACGAGATAAAGCATGCACATATATTAATGGAAGGTAAGTCTTTCACACTTGTATTCTGCCTGGAAGTCCCTAGAGCTAAAGAAACTTTTTTTTTTAAATTGCAATTGAGAATTTGAACTTTTGAATTTAGATGGCGTTCAGCTGACGGCAATGAATACTTATGTGGTTACTGTCAATCCCAAAAGCAAGAGGGCCACATCCAAGATAAACAGAGCAATCAGTTTAGTCCTCGAGGGTTCGGCAGGTCTGATCTCGGCACCTTCTGGAAAAGTGGACTCAAAGCTCAAGGTAATGCTTATTGATTAAATTTGTGGTCTTCACCTCTACATGTCTATTGACTTCTTTCAATCTTTTTAGATCCAGAGAAAGAGGCCTCAGTTGGTCCACTTATAGTCTTCCCAGTCAAAAAGAGAATTGAGCCAGAAGAAAAACGTATGTATGGCAGTATCTGGAGAAGTGGGAAGGCCACGAATACAGGTATTTACAATCTTTAAATTTAGTATTTTAGTTTATTTGTTTTAACGTTTGCATTTTCAGATGACAAGGGATTAGTTCCTGAAAGCTCTGATACAAAAAACCTTCCTGAGATTGAGGAAGACTCCTCTCCAGATGCAACTAGTGTTGATGATGGTAAACTAAAAGATGGATCTCATGTTTTAGACTTTAATTAATCATAATTTTCCACAGCTGATTTGGATGATGAAACTTCAGAGGAAAAAGCAGAAAATGAAGTGAAGAGTGAAAAGCTGGAAGAACGGTCAAATATCAAACACTATGAAGTCTCTGAAAATGAAACTACACCAATGCCTAGTAATTTCAGCACAACTCTAATGCCTGATGTTGAGTTGACTACCTTCCTGAATGACACAGACTCTGACTTCCCTGTTACAAAAGAACCAAAGAGATAATAAAAGAGTTGCAATTTTAAATCTGTAAAGTCTTTGTATGGTCTATTCTTGTACCCTAACCTGCATGATTTACTGTAAAGAGGAGCAATCTGGGCAGCTGCGAGTAATTGCATGGATGTGTGGGCACTTCATGTAACCCTAAGAAACAGACATTTTCACAATTAACTGCCTCACTTTGAGGTGGGGATGGATACACTTATGCCATTCCAGTCTTAAAAAAAAAAAAAAAAATGGTGAGCCCAGAAGAATGGACCCGAACTTGACATAACCTCCTGCCACGCAAATTTGCAATAATTTGGGATCATTTTAGCTTTTTTTGTGGTCTGGTTACCTCTAATCTTGCATAAATGAGTGGAACCATGTACAATTACCCGGAACCTTTACTGTGAACACCGATTTCTGCGCATGCGCGATGGATATTGTTGCAGTTGACATTTTGTTCATTTGATCAGTAAACATTTAAAGATCGGAGATATTTCCCACTGTGAGCTGAAACATGTTTACATCGCAAACCTCGTCCTTTGTCCAGGACTCAATCGACGTGGAAGAAAGAGACGATTTTGACAATGAAGACCTTCCTGGATTCAGTCAAAGAGCACAGCTGAACTGCTACTATGTCATCTACCTCTATCAGGGAACAAGGTATTGTACGGACTACTGCTGCTTTATGAAGTCACTACAATGCGTTTAGTTACCTATTTGTTTACGCTTTGGGCAGAGAGCTGATTGGCTGAGATGCGGGACAAACAAGTGATAGCATCATTTTACCTTTTTCAATTGTATGTGGTTTGAAAGTTGGATACCCCACCCTTGACATGAGCTTCATCTGCTTATGTCCGGGGAGATGTGAGGTTATTTGATTTGAACAGTCTGCAACTTCTCCACGGATCTGACGTGTGTATTTTTACGTCACACTGAGGAACATCCCAGTAATCTCCATGGAGACAAGGGGTTAACTGTGGATTTGCTCAAGAATCAAGAATTATTAATTTATTGTTATTGTCACAAAAACAATGAAATTACATTTGGAGCATCATTGTGATAATGGAGCATATGAAGAGCAGAAGTTGGCAGGATGTAAACAGCACAAAGCTATATGAGTTAGATAAGCAGAACAGTAACAGTATTAAAGTGAGCTGCAACAATGTACGACCAGTTCACAGTAATGGCAGGTACGTAAAAGTGGAGGATAACAGGGGTTCGTGGGGGTGAGGAGGGGTCAGTGTTCATTGAGCAGTCTGAAGGTAGAGGCGTCATTGCATTTAAGAGCAGGTGCCTGAGCTTTCTAGATTCAGAACCTTTATACACCGGACTGCTTTCCCTTGTGGTTTGTCAGTGCAGCAGATGACAAAGTATGGTTAATAGTTGGGTATGGGTTCTATAAAAGCTGTAAAAAAACGTTCTTGTAAGAAATGGATTGGGTGTGCTTTTGTTCACCATGAATTGTTCCATTACTATTACATGGTGGACTTTGTTTTACCTTAAATTGATCTATGTATCTCTTACTTGAACTTAAATAAATCTACATTGAGAGAATATTGTTTTTATTTTGTATTATCCGGTGAAACGTAACCCTGCCTGAGAATGCATCTTCAGAAACTGTGAATTGTCTTAGATCTGAGACCTCTGGGGAAAATGAGGCATGGAACCAGCGAAGAGCAGACTCTACAACAAGTCAGGATGACTTTAGGTAACAAGTCGTCATCGTCGTGCCTTCCTCAGGCTCTCGTGGTCATTTCTTCTTTGACTTTCACTGTCTTCATCCATGATGAGCTGCAGTTGGAAATCAACACAATGTCATGGAATCAGTGTTTTATTTATGATTTTGTCTCTATTTTCCATGACTGTGTGGCTGAAAACAGAAAGCCTCTTCAGATCTTGCTTGCTGTGCTTTTTGCTTCTGTTTGTTCATGACTGTTTTGACTTGCAGTACATGGCTGGTGGTCGTCTCATTGTGTTTTGTGGATGTGGCTTCAGTCATCTCTCTCCATTATCATGACTTATTTCAGAGACTCATATGTGACAGAGCTAGGTTCTGAGACTCCTCTCTCTTACAGTCTGACCCTCATAGACAGCAGCCTGCCGGCAGAGGCTGAGCCAGAGCTGAGGACCTACATCTCCAGACGGCTGAGCAAAGGAGCACTGCTCGGAGGGATGGGCAACATTGCTACTGTAGAGCTCAGGTAATAACGTTTGATATTGGAAAACTCAAGCGTGTGTTTTACTGTTATTGATGTTGGTTGGTCTGTTTTTTCCTCCAGTATTCCTGAGCAGGCAGTGGGTTGCTACTGCTGTCTCCTGGAGCAGGAAAGGTCCCCAGAGCAACCAGATTCCGATGGGAACGGATATGTTATTTGCTTTATGGGAGGCACCGAGAAGGGGCTTAACTTATATCCTTACACACCCAACAGCATTTTGGCTGAACATCTGATCAACGGTGATATTCATATGTAAACTTTCACTTCCTTGATAATATTCTCACGTCTTGAAAACAAGCTTTAAAATCGTGCGTCTTAGTCTTCTTACTCTTACAGTTTATGTATTTGTACATGCATGCGAGTCATGTGACTATGCCAAAACATGTTTAAATGTTAAGAAATCCTTCACTAAACGCACATTTCGATTAGAGCTGGATAAATATGTCCAGGGCCTACACAGCAGTTTGCAGACTCCAGAGGTAAGCCCAACTTCAGTGGTAAGCACATTAGATAAACTGTGTTCTAGTTACATTTTGTGTTGTGACAGCTTCTCAATCTGGAGACAGAGGTGCGGCCGTATCTGAGCCGCTGGTACGAAGAGTCCGTGATGCACATCCACCGCGTCGTGCAGCTCGTCCAGACCAACATCAGCTTCTTACTACATGCAGTCAGTTGTTTCATTCTCCTTCTGCTTATGTTTGGTGAATTTGCACTTGGTTGAGTAACTGTTGTTCATTCAGGCGTTGAGCCACACACCTGTAGAGGTCATAAACTCAGATGAGCGAACAAAGGCGGATGTATCGAGGTGAGAAGCCGTGTAAAAATCACTCGTCGACTCCTCGTCATGTCACTGTGTGCTTTCTGTCAGGTTCATCAAAGCCGCCAGTCTCCAGGGCTTATCCCAACAGGACACCACAGTGGCGTCTTTATGCAAAGCCATGTCTGAAGATGTTCCGTCAGATCTCCTCATGGACTGTGCCACCAGCCCCCCCACCCTGAGCCACACAGGTCACACCCTCATCACAGCTGCAGAAATATAAACGCAAAGGCCTTTTCAATAACAAATCTTATCTTAATCTTCTCATAGTGAGCAACCGTTTCTGTGACGACTGGATCCAGGCGTTTCTAAATGCGGCAGAGCGCAGTAACCCTTTCCTTCTGCGACAAATTCTGGAAAACTTTAAATTAAAGGTAAATGAAAGTTCAAGCACTTTTGTTTCATATTGTTTACAACATTGCATTCTCCTTTCTGTCATTGAATATCCTTTGTTATATATATCTTTTAATAAGATGTTAAACGGGAATCCATATTCTGTATTGCAGATATTAAACAGCGATACTATTACTTATACTTATACTGGGGATGAATGATTATATTTACATCAATATTGTATGGGCCGATACTTTCATCTTTTTGTATCTCTTTGACCATAAAAGGCAAAGCCCCTCTTGTATAATGTAAACAAAAAAATAAAAATATTGCTTTTTAACTAAAATTAAAACGACTGGCAAATAATGATTGGCGAGTGCAGAAGAGACAACAGCGTACTTAGTGCACTTGTGTATCGTTGTAATTTTGAGAAATGTTTTGCCAATCTATGCCAAAGCTATTTCCTATTTTTTTACTTCTTGTTACTCACAATGGCATTAAAAAGAATTCTGCTTCTGATGTCTGGATCAGTTGGACCAATTTCCTCGTAATGATTAATTCTTGTTTCTTTTTGTTTTGTTCCTTTCTTGATTATTGTATGTACTTTTCATGTTTTTCGTGCTTTGTTTACTTTGTTTGGTATGTGTACTGTATTTTAAATCTGTAGCACTCTGAGGTTTCCTGGAAATGTAAGGTGCAATATAAACAAAATGTATTATTATGATGTCCTTCGGAAAAAAAACCCCGCCGCTATGACAACCGCTCGTGTGCATTGTGTGTTGTAGGCCATCCAGGACATGAACAGCCTGAAGCGGTTCGTGCGGCAGGCCGAGATGAGCCACTACGCGCTGTTCCGCTGCTGTCAGTTCCTGCAGAGCTGCGGCAACGGCGACGTGCTGCTGCAGAACGCCCGCTCCGAGCACCGCGACAGCACCGAGGCCTGCAGCATCATCAGTGTCCTGGAGGAGTTCATCCAGGAGCACGCTTAAGCACAGAGAGCCGCCAAGTGGTCAGCCAGGGGAACTACAGGTTAAAGATGAGGTATTATGCTCCACTCCCAATCCCTTCAAACCGGCCCCCATAGAGCGTGTGGCTGCAGGTTTTCATTCCAACCAACCAGGAGTTTTCCGGTTAAGACTGGGCTCGCTTGATGAAATTGGTGGAGTTTGGCTGAGGGCCCATTGAGGATCGATGTGACTAGATAAGAGAACATTTTGTATCTCAGTTTTGCCGCACACTACAGAGCGTTAGAACTATCACTCCAACAAGATTAACAGGAAGCACTAAATGTATAAATAGAAGTGAGTGATGAGAATCTTTTGTGACAATGTATCCAATTAGTGTTGCAAAATACTAGAAATGAAAAACACATCAATCAAACAACAACTGAGATATCATCAGTTTTCTTTTTTATTAAATATTCTGGCAGAGCTACATCGCTGCTAACTATAAGGTCTGATCTCTGCAGAAGACACTGGCTGTAGAACTATAATAACACATATAGGGCCTTCAGCCAGAGTTAAAAACAAAACCACAACTGATTGCGTGGGTTGTTTTTGTTTAATATAACATTTACAAATAAACAAACGACAGGTAACAACACCCAGCCTCTTGTAAAGTGCAATACCTCCTCTTTAACTAAATATGTGTACAAAATGTTCTGTGCAACTCCCGATTCTTACGCTGCACTTTGTCTTTATAGTTTGAGACAGATTTGTGAATAATGTAGTACTAATAATATATGTACAGTCGGGCTGACGATTAGGGAAAACATCTTTTATTAGTTTGAAATAATTGGGATTTCAAAAATGAACCTATTACTGTCAAATTTAACCTGTGATAAACATAAACACTTGCAGACTGGTGGCACCTCTGCTCAAAAGCCGATGTACTCAAGACCTACACACAGAAGGTCACTTGTATTTGAACAGTAACTATTTAAAATTCAATAATTGAAATCACAGCCTTTACGATACACTACCTTTGTTGATTCGGCCGTCTCAATCCGAACACGTGTTGATTTGACTAAGACCAAACCCATTTTACTTGATGTCCCTGAACAGTAGCATGTCTGTGTAAACGTTGTCATCTTTATGTCATAATTTATAGCGATTTATAAGTTTTTGTGCACAAATCACTTTGATCTTTGTCTTTTTACATTATACCCCGCCTTTTATTCACATGAACCAAGTAATGCATTGTCATGAATAGTCTATATCTAATGTTTGAAAAATATACACATTGTTGTTGTTTACACTGCTCCTCAAAGCTGACACCAGGTTTACACTACAGACTTATGCTTCCTTTGTCGTAAAAACAGTGGAATGACGTGAATATAAAGTATAATAATTATTTAATTCCAGTGAAGCAGCAATAACAGGTTTGTAAATGTGAAGAAGCATGATGTGTAAATAAATGCAAAATTGTCTGTATTTGTGACTTGTTCCAATGGAAAATAGAGACATGAACGTGAATATTGTGGCTCTGAGAATAAACCGTCAATTAAAGATAAAAAAACAAGTGTCCTGGTGTTTTAAACATTTAAGATGTCCAATAAGTCATTTTTAACAAAATGGAGATGCACAAACTATAGATTAGAGAATTCCACTTTCTGAGGATGTTTTCCGGTGGTGTAGATCCTCAGCGTCTAGAACCACATAAACACGTTCAAACTTGTGGTGCATCAGACACTTTAGAAAATGGCGCTTTATGTACATTTGAGCCAGATAAAGATGAAGTAAATCCACTTGAGGACTGTCAGATTCTCTACAGATTATAATTCCAGAGAATTCTGCTCTGAGTCCTAAAATCACATCTTTAAACACATGTTGAAGGCAGTAGAGCTGTTTACTATTAATAATGTCAAGGATAGTTACAGCCTTATTGTCTTTGAATAAAGCACTTATCCCGAGTGTTACATTGGGGAAATGAAGAATGTTCTCATCACTTGAACAGATTATTTCTATTGATTCAAGTTATTTTGGACTCTAATTTAATAATTAATCAAATAAGACGTATGTTTATTACAGAGTAGGTTTATTTAGTATTTGGCCCAAAATATTTCTATATTTTGTTAATTGTATTTACCTGTGCAGTAATTTGGTAACTTCCTCAGGACGGCACTTGGAACATCGTAATGGATCTCTGGACAACATATTTAATAATAATGATAATAATACAAATAAAATGTATAAACAGCACTGCTTTCACCTGGGCCAGCTGGTTTTCTGTCAGGCTGTGGGTGGTCATAGTCCCCTTTGTTCGAGAATGGTTCAGTTCTCTGGAAATCTATTTGTTCAAAATAATGTACATTATATTAACATATTTCATCTTACCATTTCGAGAAGGCAAAATGTTGTAGACTCCTTCTGTTGAGCTCAGTTTGTGTGAATCCATGTCTGCCACTGTGCCACAAACATGAGCAGTGTACTTGTTTTTGAATCTGTGATAAACAGCATTACCTTTGCTGATCTGAAAGGCGGTGTTCTGGTCGTTCGGTCCCTTTGTGGGTCCACAGGGTTCTGCACAACTCTCTTCTCTCTCCACTTCTGAGCAGATATCAGTGCATATATTTTCACTGCTGACAAGCGGTTTAATTAATGAGTTTAATGAATTTAAGATGCATCTCACCATGAACTGACTCCACCAACATGAAGCGTGATATTTTTACTCTAATAAGGTTTGTCGTATGCAGAGCTATCTCAGAGGAAAGGCGTATGTAGTAAAACTATAAAGTATGTTTGTGTTTACGTACTTATGTGTGACTCCAGAGGTTGACAGCTGCATGGCTTTCCACAGGTGTTTGACCCACTCTCTTCTGAGCTGGGCTGACTCTGCTGCCTGAACGTTGACAAAATGTCATACAGAACTGATCACCTTATCTTTATTCTTATAACGTACAAGGATTTTTCTCTTTCCACTGGTCATGACCATTTCAAACATAAAACGTTTGCTTTCATCACAATGAACTTCTCGTACTGACTGCATCTATGAATGAAAATCATTGCGTTTCCAGAAAACAAAAACATTTGTATATCACTATCACTTACTGTGTAAATGTAGTAGTAACCTCTGAGGTGTGTCTGTGAAGTCAGCAAAGTTCAGCAGTGATATTAACTTGAAATAACATTTAAAAATGCAAACGGAACTTACAGCACTTCCATGTTTTTTGGTGTAGAAAAACAAAGTGGTGTTTTGTAGTCTGAACCAATATGTCACCCATCTTAATTTCTGTAAGATACTCAAAGGTCAAAGACATCTACAACATACTAATGCAGCTATATATATATATATATATATATATGCATATATATATATGCAATGTTTTTATGAAAGTGTCTTACCAGGGTGTCCTTTCTCTTCTGAAGAAAACTCTCTAATGATAGATCCTCTTGTTGCATAGTGAATCGTGTAAATACAGTATAAACTAATCTACCTGTGCGCAGTCACTTCCCTCAAATCAAATCTGGATCCGCTTCTCTATTCTGTGCTCATTAGATAAATGTGTGTGTGTGTTATACACCTGCACAGGACAAAGGTCAGCAGAAAGCAATAATAAAACAACTGGAGCCATGTTTATAGTTTTATTGTAAATGATAATTTAAAGATGACCCAAAACACATGGTTTCAGTAGAAGGTAAATGCACCAAATATATATTTAGACAATATCTAATCAAATGCACTAATCAGACCATTATGACATTTACTCATTTAAAGTTGAATCTATTCATTAAGTAGTCTTTTCCCTCATTTTAAAAGATATTCTTGAATGAGCAATAGTTTCCACAGTCTGCTGCTGCCTCACACAGCAGGAGGAGCATCTCCAGTGATTACTTGAGACTTGTACCTGATCAGTTAAAACAAAACTGGATAAAATTAGGAAAATAAAAAGCAAATCCTATCATACAAAAATACATGAAAAAGTATATCCCTTCATTCGTCCTTGTGACGAAACAGGCTTTTGTACAGACAACAAAGAAACCAACAATAATATTAATAAATTATGAACAGAGCGTTCAACACTTTTCTAAGGAAGAGAAACGTTCTGACATCTACGGCCCAGTGGAGTATATATTTATACTGCATTAACTATTAACATTGTGACACTTGTGTCACCTCTGAAGTTTTAACAAATAACACTGTGGAGGACGAGTCCTCATGCATCAGAAGAATGTCTATACAAATAGAATTCAGGGCTGATGGTTTATCAAAAGTAACAACCCTTTCCCTCATAAAGCCAAACAGGTTTGTATGCACTGTAATGTCTTTTTTCTTGTTGAAGATGCATCAGAAAAAGCAGGTCAGTAGGCCGCAGGCATAGGGGACAGTCACCGCTGCTTGAGCAGAGCTCTGTACATGGCGAAGCCCAGCACCGCAAACACTGTGGCCCCAACACTCGCCCGCAGCCAGAACGTGGAGTTCTTCAGGTCAGCTTGTGCCACGTGTCTGTGGAGAACAAGACACAAGTTAGATTCTATCAGAGGCTTGTCAAAAACAATATTGGAAAATCTAAATATATACAACTACTTGGAAGCAGATCATTTCCAGGTGGTGAGGATTAAAGGACATAAAAATGAGAGGAGACTATGGGAGACTAATAAAGGAGACTCTTAAAGAAATACCATGTTTCAATGAAACGTCCAGTCAACAACATAGGAGTATGAGACTCTAACCCATCCGTGACCACCATAAACATTCTCATTTCAATACCAACACAGGCCTGTAGCTTCAAGTACATGAAATTTGCCACAAAAATACTTGTTTTTACCTGCATCAGGACAAGTGGCTCCTTTTGGACAAACCACCTGTGTTGGTCAAGTGTAAAAGCTGCTGCCTCTGCCTCCACCAGCCCAAACTGTCACATGCGTCATAATAAACACACAAGCCGTCCATCTGAGGGGAACAGTTCAAAGGCCCTGGTCTCAAGCGCACACACATCACCCAGCTCCAACTACCCCTCTGTCCAAGTCCACTACAAACTGACCACACACCACCAAAGAATATCATATAGTTAGGGCTCGTTGAGGAAATAGATGAATTCAGTATATAATAAAAAATATATTATTGTTAGATAGTTTGACATGAACAGCCTTTATTGTGGCGTGCTCACTAAGCCAGGCCTCAGTGAACCAATGGAATACAAGACTTTACATGAATTCTAAGAAACATGGATTATGTGCTTATTAGTTGTAAACAGATTATTAAGCAACAAACAATTATAAAACAAATGTTATTGAACAAGAAGCAATCATCCACAGAACAGCATCAATAATAATACAGCCCAAAAGTTTACCATCAACACATGCAGGTCAGATTCAACAAAACCTTCACCAATAAACTTTTAACAACTGTCGTTCATGAAACGGCCACTAGATGTCACCCTGTGTTAGAGGGAACCAAGTCAAAGAGCCCAGTAACTATTAGCAAAAAGTGACAACATGCAAAAAGAAGAGGAAGAGAGGCAGCCAGAAACACGTGTATGGAGCCCTAAAGCAACAGAAAAAACAAGGTCACATTTGGTGATTTAAGGCAAAGAACAAAATCAACAAATTCGGTTATTGCAATTATTCTAAATGTAGACCAACAGAACATGTGTAAAACTATTTTTGTTTCTCCAGTTGGAAATACATTTAGATTATTATACATAATCATCAACACCACTATTCCCAATGTTTCTGCAGGGTTGGACAAATAGTTGAATTGAAGTCACAAAATCCACTGTGTTGGTGTGTGGGGAGCCCGTGTGCACAGATATAAAGCTAGAGTACCTCACTTTGAAGAAACCACAAGAAATGTACAATCCAAGTGACTAGTTTCAGCTCCATCATTAGTTTTCCTGTGTTTGGCCTCTGTCACATCTTTAGATCAGCTTTTTCAGACAGAACAGTGGAAAAAATTCTATTTCACTCAGCCCATTAGCTTGTAAGTAAGTAATGCATATTTATATAACGCATTTTACAGACCAAGGTCAACCAAAGCGCTTTACAATGTTCTCTCAGTCGTTTTATTGTTTCCCAATGTTCTTCAGACACCCTGGGTTGCTTATGCATGAATGGTGTTTTATAAATAAATGTGCCTCGCTTATGCTAAAAGATAACATGTTTTCTAAGAAGATAAAGACAGTATGTTGTGGTCTGATTTGTTCGCCAGATGCTAGTGCTACCTGAACAAGACTTCCTGTTGGGACAAACAAAATGTATTTATGAAACAACAAAAGTTTGGCACTCAAGCTTTAAGCCTGGCGTTTAGACACTGCAGAAACCTTGGATGTTTTTTAGCACATAGTCTGTAAAATAAATGTACTATTTACAAAGTGTGAGAAAGAAAACTGTATTTTTCATGCAATACAATGCAAACCGGCCAGAAATGACAAAAACATTCGCCGAGTTGCAAGTTAGTAGTCTACTGTACAACGGTATCCACTTAATTGTCAACCTTTACCAAAGCACTTGAGGCCATGCATTCCTGTTGCCTCCCCATAAACAGACAAGGCGTTATCTGGTACTGCGCAGAAACACATTGCAGAGAGTACAGACAGCGTGAGGCCTGGCCAGAGCTGAGGTAAACACCAAGACAACACAACAAGTCAAACTCCCTTTGCCTTGTGGTTCAATTTAACTCTAATAAAAAGGAAAGTAGAGGGCCTATACCAGTCACCACAGTTAATAGGGTTGGGGTCAAAACTAGATGCAGATTCACAAGATCAAAAAAGGGAGCACAGAAGGAGAGAAGCGTCTATGTTACAAAACTACGGCTTGTTCTGTGCATGGACCTGTTCAACACCACCCTGCGCAGTTGGGCCTTAATTTTTCGCAGGAGCTCCAACTTGAGGAGGTTGTGACACAGGCAAAAGGTGCATCTGTTGCACGCACAAGAGCAGCGGAGACGGGCGTGGCTGCGGAGAGACAGACATCTTGCGTTCACCTTGCTACCAGAAAACACTCACCATGGATTTGTTCATTTGCATTTGTCTATATTTACGGCGTATGTCGGTTAACACAAAATCTCCCTTCACCTTTCCCATTACTTCCCTTGTACATAGTATACCGGTATTGTCATGATTGGAAATGTACACTTGTGTTTGGACCATATTTTGGAGCGGTTGTGCAAAGCAATATGTCTAACGTTGTGTTTTCCATTTTCAAATTATGACTATAATTGAGCTGATTTGGGAAGGTCTACAGTTGATGCAAGGCAGCCCACAAATTTACCAGCCCATTTTTTGCCAAGAAGAATGGGAAGCCCAACCTTAGGAGAATAAAGAAGCTCATCCACAACTACCAAACAACTCAAAAGCCATTATCGATGTTAAAGGGGCAATAAAACGTTATCAGGGGCTTTTGAGAAGTCAAATAAACAACTTTTCAGTGTGGATGTATCAGTCCAATGTCCAAACTATGGACTATTTTTTTTTTATTGCTTGTATTACACCAAGATTACTGAGGCTAGACTTAAAACAGGCCAGATAAATGCATTTGTCATGTTTAAATATCCGACCCTATATCAACGATGTTTGGATACCTGGGGCCGTATTCCTAAAGATTCTAAGAGTCCTCTCAGAGAGCTCCTATCTTACCCTAAAAACTCCTAGCTAGGAGTCTTAGCTTAAAAGTTATTCCAGAACACTCTTAGAGAACTCTGAGCAAGGAATTGACAACAACTTTTATCTTAGTGAGGAGGCGTGGCCGACCCCGTTGCTAGGTATGAGTCATCATTTCAGACGCTGTGATTGGTTGATCTTAAAAGTTAGTAAAAACATATTTTTGATGATAATGGGCAAAATAAGGGCCCTAAAATGGACAAACTCAATCATGGAATCTAATCTTAGGAATACTGTGTTATTGTAAATAATAACCAAACGCTATAAAGTCAGATATATCAATGGTGCATAAATACTGTGAATAGTAAGATAGACTTTTACACCACATCATCAGAGCTTGCTCAGCACCAATTTCTAACAAATACATAGTACGTATATATCATGAGCACTTATAATTTTATATTATATATATATATATATATATATAATATATATATATATTTATGTATATATACATACAATTTAAATATTACTCTATATATAATATACATGAAAAAGAAAATTATTATTATAAATATTATATGGATAAATGATGATAGTGATAACGTTAGGATTAGTAAAGGCTGTGATACTGACAGACGTATAAGGCATTAAGGAAACAATGGGCCTCATTCACGAACGGTTCTTAGGAACAGATTTGTACGTAAATCCTACTTACGCGGTTTTTACGAAGAAAGTGGCATTCACGAATATTTCTCGTAACCAGAATTTCTCTTGGGCAAGTACAAATCCTACGAGTCCTCAGGAGCACTCGTACGCATTCAGTGCCGACATGTTCACACGCCGGGGTTGTCCTCTTTGGTGAAGTTGAATAAAAATACAACATTCCAGTGATATGTCCGTCATATCGATGTATGTATTTATTTATTTGTAGTAATCTTTATTAGTAATCTTTATTTATATACCGCCTTTTTCACTGCAGATCTGGCCTACTTTTTAATTCATTTTGAAATGAAATGTGCCAACGCTTTATCAAATACATTGGAAATCTTGCCGTGTATTACCCCTTCCTATTTATAGGGGGCATTTCTTTATCCACGGGCCACAGAACAACGGCATATATGCTGCTGCTCCAGGAGGTTACTGGGTCCGTGCTGAGTCTCTGCGCTGGTCTCTCCTATGGATCTATACGGGTCTGCGCTGGTGTCTCCCATATACGGGTCTGCACTGGTCTCTCCCATGGATCTATACGGGTCTGCACTGGTCTCTCCCATATACGGGTCTGCACTAGTCTCTCCCATGGATCTATACTGGTCTGCACTGGTCTCTCCATACGGATCCGCGCTGGTCTCTCAAGTCTGGTCTATGCGGTCTCTCTTCGGTCCGCGCTGGTCTCTGCGCACCGGTCTCTCCAGTCAGGTCACTCCAGTCTATGCGGTCTCTCCTATAGGTCCGCGCTGGTTTCTGTGTGCTGGTCACTCCAGTCTCTCCTCGGGTCTGCATTGGTCTCAGCGCTGGTCCGCGCTGGATCTCCTCCCAGGGTCCAAAATATTTTGAGATTAATCTCATCATATTCTTAGATTAATCTCATAATTTTGCTAGTTCGACTTTATTATCATAATATTTCGACTTTTAAGTCAACATTTTATAACTTTATTCTCAGTCTGGTAAAAGAAGAAAAAAAGGTGACTTTTGCTCCGTGTAAAGGCCTGTTGCTGTTTCCTCTGCCGTCTGCACACGGCCCTGCAGTCCCTTATATGGGCATTAGTGGGCGGTTACTTATGCTAAGTACCTATGCTAATGAAGCACCTGGCACGCGCGCTCTACTTACGAGGAAATGGGATTCATCAATCTGAGAGAACAGCTGCGAACAATTCAGCGGCTTACGAGTGCGTTGATGAATCCCACGTGGGGACTTCTTAGAAATCTACTTAAGGACAACTTGAGAAGAAAGTTGAGTAGTTTCTTACGAAGTTATTCGTGAATGAGGCCCAATATTAATACAAACATATTATACATACAATGTACAAATCAAGTACAAGGGAGTTTAAAAGTCTTAACCTCTCTCACTCCTTTTTGAGCTGGATTGTTGTTAATAAAACAAAACTGTATTTGTACTTCTATTCTGTTGTTGTTTTGTTTGTTTTTGTCCTTTTTTCTTGTTTGCCATGGCTCAAAATAAAGTATTCATTCATTCGTACTGAATGTGTGAAAATGTAGGCCCACTTGTACAGTATTAACGCAATAATAGTTACATTTACTTGCTTTTATTATTACCATGCTGGTTATTTTCTCTCTTTCAACTTTCACCATTTCTACCTACTTTTGTGTAACAAGGGTAAAATGGATGAGTTGTTATTGCTGACCAGCCTATAAGAAGCTGGTCACACGATTGACTTTTAAATATTACAGAAGCATAATTCCTGCTCGACTCAATCTGTAGCGTTTCAATGATTCACTGTCATCCAGTGTATAGAATATTTCTCCTGTCTCCACCGTCCACCATTTTGAGCTCTTAGGGAACTTTTAAGTCGCTAAAAGTCCACCTCTCAACTCTTAAGGGATCTCCCCTTAGGAGCACTCTTAAGAGCTAGGATTCTTTAGGAATAGCTTTTATCTTAACTAGGAGCTACTCCTCACTTTTAGGGGAAATTCTAAGAGTTGGTCAAGATTCTAAGAAAATTCTTAGAATTTGGCCACTAGGAGCAACTTTTAGCACTAAGAATCTTTAGGAATACGGCCCTAGAGCTTTAAATGTTTGATCATCAAAGCAATTTCTGGTTTTATTTTGAGTTGACTTATTTTTATCCAGTTTTTGTACCTCTTGAAAGACACAAAGATCACTGATATTCTTGACAATAGCGACACACAAAAGATAAACCAAGAAGCTCATTCAAAACATTTAAGAAGTTGCCGTCTTGTTGTGAATACTTACGGGTACATGGCCATAGTGGTGAGTCTGGTGTAAATGTCTTTGCTGGGTGCGTCTGGCGAGTTGCATGTGAACAGCTGGGGCGGGTGGAGCTTATGTTTGCGACAGAAGTCATGCGGAGACAGACTATAGTGTTGTCGGACTTCATGCAGCTCCGACTTGGCAGCGATGAACACACAGGGGGTCTTGCTATCGATAAAGTATTGCTGCAGAAAACAGATTGTGGCAACGTTAATAAAATAAATGATTAGAGATAGGATAAACCTCATGATATCCCATTTTTAATCATCTTTTATTTGATTAAAAAGTGTTCCCTTAATACCTTGTAGACTTTGGCAGCATATTCAAAAGAGCAAGGATTATTGACATCGTAAACCAGGCAAACAACATCGCAGGCCAAATCTGAATCCAAAAGGAAGTCGAAGTCTGGCATCACCTCATGGAGCTTGGAGGTACACAAAAAAAAACAATTAGTAGCCATCCAAATATACCGATAAATAGTATGCTGCTGTATGTTTAAACTACCGGACTTGCTGGACTATAGGGTGCACCTGTATATGGGTGCACCTGTATATACTGTAAGCCTGCACAACCTAAATCCTAAAATAAAATCTTTTTTGTCCACTTTATTATAAGCCGAAGGTTTTCCTGTTGTACTGGTTTAACTGTTTTAACTGGTCACAACATGATTTAATGACGAGGTGTTTAGCAGGTTAACCGCTTGCTCCCAGAACTCATTCACCTTCATCTATTTCGACAATAAACTAGTGTTCCATAGCTACTAAAACTTGGGAGTCAAAATAACAACGCAATAAACTCTGCTCTGACAAATCTACCACAATGAAAATACACATATTAGCCGCATCACTATATAAGCAGCAGGGTTCAAAGAATGAAAGAAAAAAAAAAGAAGCAGCTTATAGTCCGGAAACGGTAATGAAATGTGAAAAAGTCTTTACCAGCAAGTACTTCTCCTGACCGTACACGTAAGTTGTACTGATTGCGTACAAGGATTTGTGGTCTTCCCGAATACGTCTTTGCCGCTGTGGACAATAAGATATCCTTGTCAAACGCATAGACATGAGAGTGTTTATTTACATGTCGGCAAATGTATATGAACCTGAAGATTCCTGCCCAGAAAAGCTTGAAGAAATCCAGTCTTGCCACTGCCTCTTGCTCCCAACACATTACAGCGGAAAACACTGCGCTGAGTCTGTTTCTTTTGCAGGTCAATGCACTTGTTGCGAGTTACTGTAATGAAAAACAAACAGAAGTGTTATGAATACGCATTACAATATTAGTAATGCGTCAACAGCGACACGTGATGGTGTGACGTGTCTATCATGTGACAGATCGGGCAGATTGGTCATTTCTCTCGAGGCCACAGTGCGACGGGGCCCAATCTGTCAGACTGACCGCATCCGGTAACAACAGCTGATAGACACGTCCCACCATCACGCATCACCTCTGAAGAAGGCGGAAGTCTACAGCCAAAACATGTGGTAATTAAGCAGAACCAGCTTCTTTACACTTTTGTCTAATCAAAATAACTTAAAAGTCTTAAACAACGTCAGCGTGTGGACTAACCGGTAATGGCGGCTGCCTGAGACTCCTGTTCGTAGATGATGGAGTAGCCCAGGTAGCCCAGATATTCCAGACTACGCTGTACATCTAAATAGGTTGTGAGCCTGTAAAATAAATAAGTGTTACATAGTACAACATGCAAATAGACATAATGGGCCTCATTCACGAATAACTTCGTAAGAAACTACTCAACTTTCTTCTCAAGTTGTCCTTAAGTAGATTTCTAAGAAGTCCCCACGTGGGATTCATCAACGCACTCGTAAGCCGCTGAATTGTTCGCAGCTGTTCTCTCAGATTGATGAATCCCATTTCCTCGTAAGTACAGCGCGCGTGCCCGGTGCTTCATTAGCATAGGTACTTAGCATAAGTAACCGCCCACTAATGCCCATATAAGGGACTGCAGGGCCGTGTGCAGACGCCAGAGGAAACAGCAACAGGCCTAAAGCAGGCTTTTGCCAGACTGAGAATAAAGTTATAAAATGTTGACTTAAAAGTCGAAATATTATGATTATAAAGTCGAACTAGCAAAATTATGAGATTAATCTAAGAATATGATGAGATTAATCTCAAAATGTTATGAGCTTAATTTAAAAATATATTATGTATTATTTTAAAGATGAATCTCAAAATGTTTTGAGATTAATCTCAAAATATTTTGGACCCTGGGAGGAGATCCAGCGCGGACCAGCGCTGAGACCAATGCAGACCCGAGGAGAGACTGGAGTGACCAGCACACAGAAACCAGCGCGGACAGGAGAGACCGCATAGACTGGAGACACCTGACTGGAGAGACCGGTGCGCAGAGACCAGCGCGGACCGAAGAGAGACCGCATAGACCAGACTTGAGAGACCAGCGCGGACCCGTATGGATCCATGGGAGACACCAGCGCAGACCCGTATAGATCCATGGGAGAGACCAGTGCAGACCCGTATAGATCCATAGGAGAGACCAGCGCAGAGACTCAGCGCGGACCCAGTAACCTCCTGGAGCAGCAGTATATATGCCGTTGTTCTGTGGCCCGTGGATAAAGAAATTCCCCCTATAAATAGGAAGGGGTCACTAATACACGGCAAGATTTCCAATGTATTTGATAAAGCGTTGGCACATTTCATTTCAAAATGAATTAAAAAGTAGGCCAGATCTGCAGTGAAAAAGGCGGTATATAAATAAAGATTACTACTAAAGATTACTACAAATAAATAAATACATACATCGATATGACGGACATATCACTGGAATGTTGTATTTTTATTCAACTTCACCAAAGAGGACAACCCCGGCGTGTGAACATGTCGGCACTGAATGCGTACGAGTGCTCCTGAGGACTCGTAGGATTTGTACTTGCCCAAGTGAAATTCTGGTTACGAGAAATATTCGTGAATGCCACTTTCTTCGTAAAAACCGCGTAAGTAGGATTTACGTACAAATCTGTTCCTAAGAACCGTTCGTGAATGAGGCCCAATGTTATCAAGAGGTCAGGGCATGTGTGTATTTTTAGCAAGTACATGTGGACACTCACGTCCACTGAGAGAGGTATCCCTGGTATGTGAGCCACCCTTGATCGTTAGTGCAGACTGTGTTGTTGACGTCAGGACCCCAGGGCATGTAGGGGAAGACTTTGAATAAATCCTTGACCTCGTCTGGAGAGAGCGCACAATCTCTGTCCTGCAAAGTCACACACACAAGAAATGTTGAGAAATGTTTTGCGAACATTAAAAGGAACGCAGAAGCACAATCTATAGTTTATATCACCACGCACTGCACCCAGACTCACGCAACACGGTACTGTGTAAAAAGTGCACACGCTAATGACCGGAATATTGAGGGATGAAATCTTAAGCAAAACAAAACTACCTTCACTCTTTCTTAAGTTGCCAAGTAAGTATTTGGCTTCTCTGCTTACTTTTGGTGGATAAAAGTATTTTCCCTGGCTTTCTAGTTTAGATCGGCACGTAGTAGTTCTTCCGCTGCTTCCTCGTGTGCTTGGTTTTGTTTCACTCTATCACTCTGGATAGGTAGCCCGATAGCCCTAAATACTGGAGCTCATTTATAAGTGTTTGAAGATGTGCAACCCAAATGTTCTATTGTAATGAATGAGTGGACGAGGAGCCAGTAGGAGAAGTCAAAATCTATTTTTTTAGTAACATGCTACTGTACTGTTGAGCGAGTGTTGAATGGTGGTCTAGTGGTTATGCTGCGGCACTTTCCCTGCAGTGACCAAGGTTCAATTCCAGGCTGGATTATTGTAAATCTGTCCATTGTGAGATCAATAAAACATATTGCTGTTCATCTTGATAACAAATGTAAATGTGTTTCTGAGCAGAATGAACAATAACTTACTTTGTCATGTTTGTCAAAGACGCTTTGAAGGAAAAGGTAAGCGTTGTGGTTGAGCTCAGTTGTGCAATCTGGAGGGATCTTAATACTGAAATGAACAGACATGATCAACAATTAAATAACGGCATTTCAGATGATTAAAAATAGCTAAAATATTGTTCTGGGCTCACATTGGAAAAAGATACTCCTGTGTCAGCTCCAGGTCATCATCATAACCAAACCTCCGCAGCACTGTCCATGTGGTCTCATGGCGACCCCTCTGGATGAAGAGCGTGTGAAGGAAGAGGAATCCTGCAGAAAACAACCTCCAGGTCAATGTATAAACGATGGAACTGGTGAAACTATTATGAAGAAACTGAACCTTTAAGTGTGAGTCCATTGTCTTTGACCCCATCATTCATGTTTCTCCGCACCACGTTCTTCACATCCTCCAGAGCCTGAGGAGCCAGTGGTGTATTGAAACATGTCCTCTAGAAACAAAACATGCAAATCAGAAGAATGCCGTGACGGGTTTTGACCTGCTTCGATAAACCGGTTCTGTCATTCGAAATGTTTAATACCTGTCAGACTTTTGTTAGCAAAAAATGTGACCGTTACCTGGAAGAAATTTAGTTCATTGTCGTTTAAAATGCCATCATTGTCCAGGTCAGAGACTTTGAAGATTCTAGTTAAGGCTTTGATGCAAGAAGGCTTCAACTGGAAAACAAGAAAATGCCATAAGAACAAGTTGTTTAAACTATGTTCTGCTTGCCCTTCTCAATAGCTCACCTCTTTTTCCTCAGGGCAGTACAGGGGCCCTGTTGGGTGAAGAACTGCTTTCTGGGCATAATAAAACAGCTCAGAGATGTTCTTGAGGTTTTTGGCTGAGCACTGGAAATAAAAAAACCACACACACACGTTCAAGATTGGAATTTCTGATGCAGTAAAATTTAGATTATTCAAAAATGTTTTGCCCTAAATATCTCTTAGTATCCAATTGCACACAGTTCAGAGTGTGAGCTGGTGTGGTTAGCGCGGGTGTCTGCCTGCACGTCTCTCCCATGACACTCTCTTAACCTTGTAATGAATCCACAGCAGGACCGTAGGAGACGCTCTCATGTGACAAACACTGACACAGACTGACCCCAGCTTCCTCTGCACGGCTAGTTTCAAACACACTCAGTCTGCACATAGGCTCTGCTCTACTCTGCACTGTAATATCAATCTCTTAATGAGGTTGAGAGTAAGTGGAGTAAGGAGCTGGACAGGAGCCCACATGCAGCCTCTCAAATAGTTGCTTTAGTTTCAGCCATAAACAATAAGAAACATATTTAAGATGCATTATGTAAAAAACTTGGCAAACTAAATACATTCAATTCAGTCTGTAAGAGTTCATTCTCTCACTCAGCTCTTGTTCAGTTGTTCTGTCAATTACAATATTGACATGTCTGAACCACATAATACAGCAAATCGGATACAGACATTATAATATATATATTTAAACTAATGATGCATTTGTTTTGAATATGTGTGCCTTACCTCCACACAGGTCTCGATATCCTGATACTGGTTCATGATTGGAAGGATAGTCTCCATGCTGCTGTGTTCAACCAAATCAGACTTGTTCCCCACAAGTATCAGTGGTACTCTGCACACATTTTTACATATATTACGTTGGTTTTTACTACTGAATTACTGACTTTTTACTTAGGAAGAAAATACATAAAAATGAACATTATGTTAATCTTACCGGCTGTCTTTATCTGTTCTGTCATTTATGAGGGGAATCCAGTGACTTGTCACCTACGGCAAGAGCCCACAGTCAACAACGCAAATAAAGCAACAGCCTAATTATGTTCAGTAAACAATTGTGTCACCTTTTCAATGGACTTCTTATTGTTGACCGAATAAACTATGCAAATTACATTTGCCTATCAACAGAAAACACTTTAATTAGTTTTATGCATCATAAATAAAAAAGGACAGTTGGATACCTTTGAGATCTCCTGATAGAGTTGCTCCTCAGATTGTTCAGCCTCTGAACATAAAACAACCATAATAAACTTAGAGTAATAAAACAAACACAAAAATATGAGATAAAAACCTGTTCTTTAGTTTTACCTGAATAATCGACTATATGAGTAGGTACCCTCTCAGGGGTGACATCTGCTGGGATGGTGATCTCTTCAGCCCGCAGGGGAACCTGATATATAATAATTAGATTTGCAGATAAAAACATCATAGCCATATAATAGAATGGTACCCAGCACTACAAAATCTGTTTTACTTCATACCTCATCAGGGAACTCTTCACTGACCAGTGACATAATAAGTGAGGTCTTGCCCACTTTGGCTGTAAAGACAAATTAAACAGTTTACATGTATGATGATGTCCCATGCAATTGAAAAGACAGTTCAGTCATGGGCAGTGGTGGTTGAGGAGCAAGTAATCCATTAATTTGACATTTCAGTCTAAGGTCTGCCTTCAAATGTGACTGGCACAACTCCTATGACATGATACATCATTCATAAATCCAAGCAATCAAAATTAATAAGACCACCTATCTACTCTGCATAGTCCGAAATAAATGGACAGCTTTTGAAGATTTTGATAAGAGACAAAGATTCATGTAATTGACTTTGAGAAAACTTGCCAACATTGCATTTCACATTACTACTTTGTGAAATCAACCAATGTGGTAAAAAGACAGATGTTTGTATGCAGCATGTGTAATACATTGTTATTATAAGGATTTGATTCCCATCTGCTAGCTAGCTGTAGCAGATAACTCACAGTACCCTCCGCCTCATCCGATCAAATGTGGAATTAACAACCATCTCAAAAAGAACTTACGCTCCCCCACGAGTAGTATCCTGACGTCCTTCCTCATGGTGTCGTGTCTGCAGACAGTGTTCAGTCGCCTGCAGTCCTGTACTTGTGTTACATGTAGAAGTCCTCTGGGCCTACAGCTGTCAAACTCTGCGCGCCTTTGTAGGACAGGAGGGCAAAACGGACGCAGTGTACGGGCCGCTCTTTTCACAGTTCCACGGCTCCGCTCACGTCAACACCACTGGCCCTTTGTGAGGATTTACATTTAGAAGTAATGCGAAGCCATCGGGCCTGTAGTTTTGAGTAAGAAGAGCTTTTTCTGATTTCAGCGCTTACATAGCATCTTCCGCAGTGGTTCCGTGAGCACGCCGGCTTCGACAGCAAGCCAGGAGGGACAAACTACATGTTGGAAGGTTGAAACGAAACGCGTTAATTTGCTGCCCACTGGTGGCTAATCCTGGAATTGTCAGCGCTGGACGGTTTTGGTCGTGTGTATGTCTCATGGTTATGACTATACAACCAAATAAAATTCCATAATTTGCACTTTACAAGTCACCACGTGTTCATAGTATTAGTTGAAATGTAAACATCTGGCCTTTATGACACGTTTATTATGTATACAAAAAACCTTTCAAAAAATATTCACATGAAATATATAAAAGAAAAATGTTTGTATATATGCAAAAAAATACATTTTAATCTATCACAATGCTGAATCTGCAACTAATAATGACTTGTCGTTTACTTTCTGTTGTTGATGTTAGCTTCAGCTGGGAAAAAGAAGACAAAATTAGCATTACATTAAACACACACACACACGCACGCAGTTTGTGCTTACTGGCATAGTCCTGAGGCGCCATAGGCCTCAGCAGCACCTGTCGAAGAGCAGATAACCACTCTTTCTGCTCCTTTTCCTCCTGACACATAAATAGATACTGTCGCTCAGGCGTGTCCAACGTCACTCCACACTTCCACTTGTTTCCTCTTGGAAATTTGGAGGTACAGTCTTCCACAGCGTAGTTATTTGAATCCATGCCAATGAAAATTGCCCCCAACTCATGTGCGTCCTTTAAAAAATCAGAGACACACATTCAGTAGAAATTTAGATACTTTGTTTAGAAAATAATATGCTTTTCCTTACCAAGGGGCTCTTGTAGTAAAATAACTTCCTACTTTGAGAGTCCAAAACAAACCATCTTTTTTTAAACGTCTCCTTTTGCTGTATGAATACATGACAAAAATATATTTAAGAATGAAATGGGTCAAAGAATAGATAATTACAACTAAATGAAGTATGGACTAACCATAGGTCCTGTTTTCTCCATAAAACCTTCTTTGAGGGAGTTATGAGTGATCATTGGAATCAGCTGAATAAGAAAAAATCTGAAAGTCAGTTATTGCCCAAGCTTTGTGGATGAAAAGGAAATACAAACATTTTACAATTAAGATTGCTACTGTTGACATTTCAAAAGACTTTAAATAATTTCATGCATACTTGGAGAGGATAAGACAAGCCACCTTCGACTTCAGCTTTTCCTTGTCAACATTGATATAAAACTGAGCCTCATGTTATTGCTGGTGAATAACATCAGGAGTCAAGCAGAGTTGATTGATGATAAAAGGATGATAAAACCAAGAATTCATCAAATTATCAATTACAAAAATACATTAAAATTTTCACTGCCTTGATTATATGGTCAATTTTAATAATGACGTCATATTGATTCCTGTGAAGAGGGAGGTGTTTTGCTCAAGAGCATAGAGACGTAAACAGTATGTCAGGACGTACCTCGCTGTCCTTTCCTGTGGGGTATGCAGTCTTCAGATATGCATAGCGCGCAGCTCGAATGCAGTTGAACCACGTTACAATCTCCTACAACACAGAGACTCAGCATGCGTCTCTCGTCTGTGACATGTGTGAATGCAGAAGCACCTGGGACGTCTCGTGGTACACATAAATGTTCCTTGTGTGGTTTTGGTGCTGGTACGTGAGCTGCAGCCCGTGTGAATGTCCGATCTTCGGCTGGAACATAGCATTCAGGTCTTTAATGGGGATCACAGCCTTGGGCCCTTTGAATTCCTGAACACAAGTTATGATTAGGAAACAGATTAGAATCCTACTATTGAAAAAGTTATTAAAGTAAATGAACGCTAGGAATAATTAAACGTTTGTCTCGTAATCTTTACATGAAAAATAGGGTTTGGGGCTACATTTTCATTTGGATGCGTGTTATCGTGCTGTCTTTATGATTGTTCTATTGCTCTATTCTTTCACAATAGAAATGTAAACAAAGCACATTCCTTAGAGTTTGTAAACTTGACTCACGCTGTCTTTGATGTAGTATGCCAAAGTTAATTCTTTTTCAGATAACACAAACATCCTCTCGTTAAACTGTGAACCCTCTTTTTGCTTCTTCCATAGGTGCCCTTCATGAAAACCTGACAGAGGAACAGATGTAAAAGAGACTGAAAATTTTGATTTGTTTTGTCACCACTGCCACAGAACCAGTTTTTCTTGTGCTCTGCATGCTGCCCATTGAGCATAAATACTTGTGTGTGACTTTACCAGTTATGTAGGAAGGCGGTGGGTACTTAACTTCTCCTGTGAACTCCAAACGTTCATATTTAGCACGAATCCACTGCTCTCTGAGATCACTGACACAGGACAATAGTCAGTACACGAGGCATGGCTTAACTGTGATGTCAAAGTTACTCACGTGTGGTCGTACTGTTGTGGACGATAGTAATGACATGGAACTGATTTCTCATACAACTCCCGAGCTTTGGCATTACCTTTAGATCTCATACACTAAAAACAAAAGATCATAGCATCAGCAGACCGTACGTTTGATTTGATTGGGGAAATGTACAAACAAGGTACAATCTATTCAACTCTAGTGAGGTGGAATCTTTTATTGACATAGTCAGGAAAATTTGCACACAAGGAATTTGCTGTGGCTTAATGGTGCAATGACAATGAAGAATTTTAAAAGGCACACAAAAATATATATTTATATAATTTAAATAATAATTTATAGTTATATAATTAAAATAATGTATATTCATCTAAAATCACTTCATAACTTGATATATGGCACATCTAAGAGTGTGTGTGTATTCGTTATATCTCACACACAATGAGTTTAGATATACAAATTAAAATAAATTTATTTTTGTATAGCCCTAAATCACAACAGTAGTCATCTCTGAGGACTTTACAAAGTTGTTACTTAAATGAAAAAAACAAAAACACAAGAGCCATTTGTGGCATGACTAAAGTCCATAAATATTAATACATGTCTTATGTCAGTATTCTTGTATTTACAGAACTTTGTTGTGGGTGGGCTTGCCTCTGTACAGATCTGACTTAACACAGCCTAGTGATACAAATTGTTGGTCTCAATAGGTTACATTACCATTTAATGCCATATTGTGCGACATTCAAGTTCACCTTTTTCTAATTTTACCACATTAAGACAGTCATTAGTATGTGTCGGTACCTCCACAAGACTGTCCTCCCAGAAGTCCAGTTTTATAGACCTGACTTTATGAGAGAAACTGCGGTGGATCCCGGAGCAGTTGAGACACACAAATACACCCACCGTACAGGAGCCCCAGTCTGGATCTGAGGGTCAAAGTTCATTGTCTTTGCAAAGATGCAAGTTCCTACATCACAATTCTCCATCTGTATAATACTGAGGTAATAGAACTTGGCTTACCGCGTGCGCCGCAGTCCGCGCACGCGCTGTTTTCAGGCCGTTTCACGAGCTCCAGCAAAAGCTTCTTGTTTCCGTCATGAGCGGACATTATACGGACTGTAAAGACTTTCAGTCAAACTCAAATATGACAAAGCGCCGCATAAACAGGAGCCAGGAAGTGCGCTCATGGATCGAGTCCAAGCAGACAAACATTCTACAGCACGAGACTCACGAGCACCACCCACAAGAGAAGCAGCCAGTGAATACAGTTGGTCAATGTATTTTATTAGATACAAATCACAATGGAACACAAGGCATTCTAGTGAACGTTTATTTGGCCACACAAAACGACTACATGAGAGTACGAGTTCCTTTAAAAAAAGCGAGCACAGTGAAATGTAAGTGAGGCTTAGAAGAAGCAGAGATGAGGCCACTTTCGAAATAACCACATATGAGGAGCTTGAAAAAATGTAAAAAGAATGGGCCTTTACAAAAATACCACAAATCTATTTTACAATTATTTAGTTGTTTGTAAAAACAATCCCCACATTACTCAAAATAATCAGCAAATTAATATTGTACGCAAATAATTCTACACACAAAATGTACACACATATACACAACATAAAATATTTATAATAAGTAGAATTAATCAGTGCATTTGTTAGAAGCACCAGAAGTTGCATGCCCAAGGAGGCGACTGTCTAGTGTCAGAGTGGAACACGTTTGGAGTATAAGTGGGGGTCACTTATTTGTACAAAAGCTGCAGACAGTACATGAAAAGCCACTAAGGGAAATCCTCTGCAAGATGCTCAAGAGTCGACTTCTGAAGACCCATGTGGATTGCATCTAGATAATGCAAGAACCTTAAAAAAAATAACAATACTGTGTTAATATAACTGAACATGTAACTTTATAGTTAGGATGTGCCATGCCCTCACCTTCTTTTGACTTTGCCTTGTTCTTTGAGCTGCTCGGTTTTGCAAATGGCCCGCAGAGCTGGGAGATAATCCTGAGCTGCTGCTGACCTACTCACTACAGAACCAAATACTCCTTTCAGACAGAGATCATCCATTACTTCTCTCCTTTCCAGGACAACACTGGAAAAAAAGACAATAACATTTGATCAAAGATTGATCAAAACAACAGGTGAAATAATGCTTTGTGTGTGACTTACTGAGGAGGACAAGAGCCTCTTTGTGTAAAAGTGCATCTCTCATTGTGAGGAGCTACTGGAAGTGTGAGCTGAGTCGCTGCTTCCTCTCGTAGCGCTTCCTCCAACTGTTGAACCTTGTTCCAGGCATCGCAGAGTGACGCACTGCACTTATTGAAGCTGAGGCTCTCCACTTGAGCGTAGATCTCTGGACCACAGCCCGCCATGGGCACTGACTCCATCCTCTGCTCATCTGTCAGTCCATCTTTGAGCACCGCGGCACACCATGTTTCATTTGCACGAGAGTCTTCATTACTCAAGAAGTCCATAAATGACATATCGTCCAAAAAGTCAGCCACAGATCGTAGACTTTGTGAAACAGGGACACTTAGTATTTGTTCCTCGTGACTTGGTGGTTTTCTTACAACCTTTTGTGGAACCCGACTGGCACCATATTTTTCTACAACAGCACTTTGCCGCATCAGGGATAGAAATTCACTTTCAGAGTCTGAGTCTGACTGCAAACCACCTTGTTCAGGTGGACAGTGTTTCTTCCGGTTCTTTTTCATTCTGTTGGAGACTTTAACCGGACTGGCGTCATCTGAGAAATCATCTTCATTTGCCCGGAGTCTGGCGTGTAGTGTGGGTCTGTGAGGCTGGGATGGATTCACAGAGAGGTGGTCCGGTGAAGGAGGACAGTGCGGCTGCTGTTTGCGTCTCGATGATGTGGAAGCTGTAGTGGTTGGCAGAGGCAGTAATGTCTCCATGTTAGCGTGAAGCAGGCCCACTCCTTGTAGCCTGCCCATCGCCACAAGGCTGGAGAGTGCTGCATCACTGGTCTGTGGACACAAAACATTAAATTACAAGATTCTTCTAAAACCAAATAAGTTTTTCTGTGGAGCTATAGTGAGTTACCTTTAGCAGTTCCCAGATGTTGTGCTGGGGTGAGATATTCAGCAGGCCCAGCATGCTCTCAGTGCAGCCAGTCTCACAGACAGGGAGAGGCTCCGGATCTCTAAGCTTGGATGCTGACGTATTTGTAACAACCTCTTCTGGCTTTTGTTGCTGCTCTTCTGCAACACAAACATGGGTATAGCTCTAGTACTGTAAAAATACAACATTATACATTTATTTTCTAAGAAATAGGCATGATATTCAAGACAGAAATAAATTCTCTGTTGTATTGAAAACCAATGCATATTTGATTTTAAAAAGTGATAATGTTCAAGCGATGAGTTATTAAACGTTCCTTGCTCTAAAAACACTTATCACTAGTTTTGTATTTTTTGGTCTTTGTCAGGCCTTAAGAAAAGTGATTGAGAAGACTCAGACAAATAGTGACAAATAGTCTTATTAGGCCCGAGCCCCAAACTGGCATAAGGGCCTATTGCTTTCACAATGGTGAATGCAAGGGGTTGCGGTGAGTGAGGAACGCGTCAGTGCCAAGATAAGATAAGATTTCCTTTATTCGTCCCAGAGTGGGGAAATTTCTATGTTGCAGCGCACATACAGGACAGTTCTAAGAGCACACAGGGTGCACACAATAAGTAGTAGCTATGTTCCTTAACTAGCTGTAGATGCTGAAATGCTTCAATACCAGTCAAAAAAAAAAAAAAAATATATATATATATATATATATATATATATATATATATATATATATATATATATATATTTATATATAGAAGTGCAGAGTTATATACAGTACATATAGTGCAGGATAATAAGTAGATAAAGTAAAGTGACGTTGTTCAGTGGACATTCAGAAGTTGCCAGAGGTGTGGACTCGAGTCATGTGACTTGGACTCGAGTCAGACTCGAGTCATGATTTTGATGACTTTAGACTCGACTTGACCAAATGTAAAAAGACTTGCAACTCGACTTGGACTTTAACATCAATGACTCTGACTTTCACTTGGACTTGCGCCAATTGACTTGCAAAGACTTGCGTAACCCGGGCCATTTTTACCTTTCTCCGCATCTCTCTTTCTATGCCGTCTCTGAAGAAACAAAGCCTCGCGGTAGTTGTAGCGCTCGCGAGAGAGTTCGAACGTGAGTTCCCCGCAGTTCGCGCAGCAACACTTCCCTAAACAAGCGGACTGCATTCACCGGTGGGTGTGTTGTCTAGGGGAGCTGGAAATGAGCGAGCTGCAGGTATTTATCGCGACCTAACGTCATATTTTGTTCTACAAACCGTAATTGATATGCTTTCACTACAGGCGCCTCATACAATTGAATCGACGCAGTTGTCACACTGTGTGCCGTGTTTTAAAGAGGAACTGGTGAGTCAAACTAGCGCTAGCCTGCGCTGCTCTGTTGGCTATTTCTTATATTTTTCTGTGTGGGCGCCGAGGCCTATTATTACGAGTATGTTTTTGCTGTGCTCCTCCTGCTAAAGTTTGCATACATTAGATCGTTGTTTTGATTATGTGCACTAAGCTAGATTAATATTTGCACTATTGTTTATGGTGCATTGATATGAGAATCAGTGCTTTGACTGATTGAATTAATTTATATGAGACATTTTATTATGTAATGATATATTGGTAATTATGAGATATTACTAATGCTGGTCCAGTTCATACAGGCCAGGTTCCTTCCCCTCCATTGGTCCCTTCAGTCCTTTGGAACAATAACCACTACGGACATTAAACTGATTATATAGATACAGGTCCTAGCCCAATACTCATTCATATATGCTGCACTGCTGCACTTGCTACTTCCCATTAAAAACCCCAAAGATAAAAAGTATGTTGACATGGACTGCTCTGATTTTATGTGTGGTCTGTGCATGTGTAACTGAGCCTGCATCTGGCACAACATCCAATTAGATCACGTAGATAGTTTTGATTTACCAGCAGCCAACGACATGGAACAAACTGTTAGTCCATGGGTCAGAGACCAACGAGAATGCACCAGCAAAATGATTCCTAACATTATTTTGTTTGCCTACAAAAGTACGTGGAGACCAACAAGAAACAAATCGCGGTCAAAAAGACTCGAGAGGACTCGAAAGTCAAACCGTAGGACTTGGGACTGACTTGAGATTTGTTGGCCTTTGGCTTGGACTCGACTCGGGACTTGCCTGTCTTGACTCGTGACTTGACTCGGGACTTGAGGGCAATGAATTGAGACTGACTTGTGACTTGCTAAACAATGACTTTGTCCCACCTCTGGAAGTTGCAGTATTGCACATTTCACATGATTTAAGAATTTACTTATTTACAGATGAATGAAATTTACAAGCCCCAATGATCCAAGATGGTGTCCTATTCAAATGCTCAGTAGCGCATGGAAGATACATGGGGACCGAGAGATTAGCGGAACTCGCCCATATTTGGGCATTTTCTGGTCCCCCCGGTTCTGCGCGGTAGACGAGCTCCCATGATGCGTTGTGCCAAATACGAGTGTGTGGCTCTCATGCACAGAGGGGCTCGGCCGCACTTTGACGAATCAGAGTTGCTGGTCAGAGTTTGTGGCAGCAAAGTGTGGATTTAAGAGAAAACCGAAGGATTTAGGAAGATCACAAGTTCAGGTTGACAAGGGACACAAAAATCCTGTTTTAGTTTACATGGAGTTCTATGGGACTTTTTTCTGGGTAGCCCACATGGATTTTATCTGCAGTACCACAGGCACCTCCTGTGCCCATGGGAGGGGACAGTTATAAGCGAGTAATACCCTATCCAGTTATTATTATAGATCCATGGTCAGTGCCCATCACTCACCAAAATGCACCGTTTGCCTGGGTCTATTCAAACGCTTTAAAATGACCTATCATTCGCCATGGAAACCTAAATTGTTTTTGCTTGAGGATTTTCGGGAAAAAATTTTTTTTTCCTTGAACCTCATTTTGAGCCCATGAACATGCATGAATAGTTGCCAAATTTTGCCCAAAGATCAGTTCTGCTGAAAAATATATGTTATTGGAGATTTTTTTTTTTTTGGGAGAAAAAGTG